GTTTTTTTTTAATTTTTGTGACCTTATATATTAATTTTATCAAGAATGTATAGAAATGGGCGGAATTTTAACGGTAAAATAATTTTAATATAAAATAATAATAATAAATTAATTTTTAAGGATAAAATATTACAATAGACATGTCCATGTTAATTAAGGTACAAATATAATTTAGTAAGAAATTGTATTGGAATAATAGATATTAGAGTCAAAGTTTATGCTATTTAGTGGTAATAGACACAAGACACATCGTTCACGCTTCAACATCAGACTTACTAAAAATATATATAGGTTAAGAATTTGTTTCTCTATAGAGGTCTACTAATACGATTTTATAAAAAAGAACTATATGAATTTAAAGTACAAATATTTTAACCAAACTAACAATGAATTTTTAGTAAATTGTAGTGAGTAATCATATTACTTTACTGTTTAGTTTTCATAATTTATAAACAATATATTTAGTACAAAAGTTAGTTATTAGTTCTAAAAATTTGATTTTATTAGATTTTAGATTAAAGATCAGTGTCTGTTCTCACATTCGAGCGATGTTCTCACTGACTTATTTTTTTACTTTTTTATTTACATATTTTATTAGTCTATTCCCTTAATATGATCTGCAAAGTACAGTAAAGGAGATACGTATCATAGCTTTTTTTAAATATATTTACTTTTTTATTACATGGTATATACAGGGTGTCCCAGGCTGAGCGTGCATTAGAAGTTTCTAGAGAACCACATTATCTAGATCGGAGATTGTTTGCACATCATTGTTTTACAACGAGATTTAGCGATTAGAAATATTTTCAATATGGAGGCACTTCCGGAAACGCCGGATGTTGACAGCAACTTTCTTATTTTAAATGGGTGCCCCCATTTTTTTCTATGAATATTGATGTGAAACACTTAACATTGACCGTTTTTGAAAAAAAAATATTTAAAATTTTTGGACGAAAAAAAACTACCTGTCAAAAAAATGTGTATAGCCTAAAAGTCAAATTTAGTGATTACCAAAGCCACTGTGCCATAAAGAGAAGACTGTTCTATTTCAAAAACTAAATTGTTTAAATGTCATATAATAATGGCGGTAGCTGTCATGGAATTGAGCGATTAAAAAATTATCATAAATCATTTTTTTTTCAAATAATGGAAACTCACTTTTTTGAATTCACTAATGAAAAGGTTTTTTAATTCGTTACTTTTTAACTATACATGTTCCTATACCTAAAATAAATCGTTTTTAAGTTAACCAAACCAAACTAAACCAAACCAAAAACTTTTTTTCTTGGTTTTATCTAGCTTCCTTTGACATTAAGTGTCAAAAGTTTAGACAATTTATTTCCATCTGTCAGAAAACGAATTATTTGAATTTCCTATATTATAAATACTACCTGCCTTAAGAGTTTAAAAAGTGTATTTATAAAAGTATATCTCGTATTTTCGCTCCTTAGCTATATCTTATAGTTGATATTATTAATAGTATTCCGTATGATCGAGAAAAAAAAAACAGCGTAAAGTTGGCTTGGAAATAATGCTGCTTCTTGAACAAAGCGTCACAATATGACATGGCCAGATCCATGATATACTGCCAGATCTATTGTTTTACATCACTTGACGTTTAAAGTCATAGGCTACTGGTTAAAATCAAGAAAAATATACGCTTTAAAACTAAATCTTAAATAACTTAAAAACTATTTATTTTAGGTATAGGAACATGTATAGTCAAAAAGTAACGAATTGAAAAACCTTTTCACTAGTGAAATAAAAAAGTGGGTTTGAAAAAAATGATTTATGATCATTTTTTAATCGCTCAATTCTATGACAGCTGCGGCCATTATTATATGACATTCGAACAATTTAATTTTTGAAATAGGTAGCCACATGTCTTCTCTTTATGGCACAGTGGTTGTGGTAATCACTAAAATTGACTTTTAGGCTATACACATATTTCGACATTTGCAACGACGTGCAAAAAATCTCCGATCTAGATATTATGGTTCTCTAGAAACTTCTAATACACGCTCAGCCTGGGACACCCTGTATATTATAAGGTTTTGTATTAAAGTTCTTCTTAAAAAAGATATTCATTAGTTTTTTTAACTATATATTTTAAACATATCTCTTCAAAGATCTCTTGATATTTAAAATATAAGAAAAAAATACTTACCCATAAGCCTCTATATTGAAACATAAGTATAATAATATTTGAGTAAACCATATTATCGTATTTGTGAATATCTTGCTAGTTTTCATATATTCTTTAATACATTTATATATTTTAATTTATACTAACAGATTTATTTATACATGATTATCATTTTACTAATGCAGTAGAAATATATGTAGTGATTCGCTATTATATTAAGACATACATTTCATTTACATGAATAGATTAATGTCATAAGTCGATTATTAATTTAATGTTTTTTTACAATAATCAAAATGGTGTTTGTATATTTTAAGAGTAATAAAGAATGTTTACAAAAATAAAATGCTTATTTACTTCTACCTTTTTCCATAATGCGGTGGTATGAGAAAGCAAGGGTCCATTAGGTATGTCTTTTATGCGACAATATGTTTGTACATCACACTTAAAATTTTTCAGTTATTAACATCATTAAAAGTAATTCTATTTGTAAATAATTCACAAGTCTCTTGCCACCCATTCTTTTTTTTAACGCTAATTTTTTTTATATATCAGGTATATATGAATAATGTGAAAATATTCGGAAGGTGATTGCATTTCGTACAATAAAAGTAATTTTTCATATTAAATTTTTCGCGTTTTTGGCGTTTCCTTAATATAGTTATTTGATTATACAGGGTGAACCAAAATTACAATATAAACTACGACCTCAGTAGGAACAAACATGTTGACTATGCAGGGTGTAATGCCATATCTAATATAATAGGTCAATTTTAGATGAAAACCCTATAAAGTAAACTATATGTAGACAATTATTTTTAAAAAATAATCACCTAAATATTATCGCACTTATTCATTTACACTGTGAGTATGTTAACATGTCCCAAATTAACCTGGAACGAGCCAATATGTCGTTTTATTCAAAATTAAAACTTTTTCTCATATTTCATCCGGTGTTTTATATTAAAACATTTTTGTTTGAGTGTGCTTGCTAATTCAGACGTTATTTAAAAAAAAACTTAACGACCAGTTTTGTTACTTAGTTACTAATATTTATAAATAATAAAGTTTATTTGGTCATATATACAGGGTGCTACAAATTCAAGGTACGAGCATTGGTATCTCGGAAACCGTAATAGATACCAAGATGGTTAAACAGAGGCAAAGTTGTACTTAAGATGTGCCCCAACATGATATCAAAGAATTTGAAAGATTGCTGATTTAAAAAAAAACGATTTTTTTTGAAAATTAATTTTATTTTTTCCTGTCGTTGCTTATACATAAGATTTAAAGCTCATCAATATTATAACCATCTTCGTATCTATTACGGTTACCGAGATACCAATGCGCGTACCGCGAATTTGTAGCACATTGTATAGTGAAACATGTAAAAAAAATCTTATACGGAATAATTGATTTTTTGAAATAGAAAATGATACTAACATATCAATTTTCCCCAATAGATATAGAATCTGCCATTTATTTGGTTAAATTATATCTGAAACGCAACAAAAAAGGCGTCAAAACTGGGTAAAATAGAACCTCAAATATAAAAAGTCTAAATGAATACTATACTATTATATTTTTAAACTCGTGTATATATGATTGGTTCATCAGAGGCGTTACATGTCAGACTAATACTCTAATTCAGGGGCCGGAAAGTGAAATAGCGAAAGCGGTTCCACCGTTTCCACGGAAATTTCAAATAAAATAGTTCCAGCCTCGGGCGCTAGGTGGTAGTGCAATTAATTTTTAGGTTAAAAATTTGCTACTAGTTATTGCCAGATGGCGTTCAATCAGATTTTTTTTGTAGTTTCCATAGTTTCCAACGGCCATTGTCATATTATTGTCAAATTCTCAAAAAATATTGTCGTTGTCATAGTTTCAAAACGTTTTTCAAACTAATTTGTTATATGTGTTTTTATTAGACAATTCATTTTGTTTGTGGCCCTAAAAATATAATGTAAGTCATTTATTTTTGCTATCATTTAAGTACCTATTTATATTTACTCCATTTACAAAATTTTGGGCGTATTACGTTGGTCTTGTTTTATTATAATAAACGATGTTTAAATATTTGACTTATAATTAAAATCTTTAAAAAAAAATAATAAATAATATTTACACATGTTCGGCTTTAATTTTATTTAATAATTGTATAAATTATACTGTTAAATCTTATTTTTTACACATCACAACGATACTTGTTATTAGTATTGTTGAATTTGTGTAAAAAATAAGATTTAATAATCAAATTTAATTATATATTTTAGAGTAGAATTCAATAAATACGCTCATTTAAAAAGCCCGCGCTTCGATCCATTTAAAACAAGCTCTACTCAATAGATGGCGCCACTTCTGTAGGACCATTTTTCAGTATGGCAGAGTCCATTCTTTTTCTAGATAGGTATATTCTTTGCTCTAATTGTTATGACACCTGAACTATTCAAAATGTACATCTATCCTTCAACGTTATTAATTTTTTCAACTAATGTTCCTAAAGTGTACACCGTTAGGTAGTTTTTCTAAGAGTAATAATTATAGCTAAATTTATATTAAAAATTTACATTTTCAACGTAAATCTTATCATCAGCTTCATATCGTAGATATACATACCTACATACCTTTCAGCTTGCGATAGTCTGTCAAATGAGAGGGTACCTGACAGTGACAGTTGTGTCTATCATTTTAATTCACAGCTAAATTGTATTTTCTCTCATTTTTTGGGCGTTATCTGTCGAAATCTTCCCTGACTCGTTGGATAGACGAGATAGATAATATGTATAACAATTAGATATATGTACCTAGATAATGGTTATTGTGGTTATCATATTACAGACATTTGTTTTTTTAGGATTTTGGTTTTTCTCCAGTTTGGGTAGTGCACTATACGGTGCACTTGGCAATATAACTTATACAAGTTTTGTTCCCACATTAACCATTTGGAATGAAAAAGCAGTTACATCATCAAATAAAGAAAATAAAGCTTCTATGGAAAACCTTGTTGATCTCACTCTGGAAGAGACTTTTAGTTCCAAAAGTGAACAAGAAAAAAGATTTAAAAGGGACGAAAATTTCAATGCAGATCAAAATTTTGAGCGAAATTACCCTAATCCACCAAAAGCATCCGAAATTGCATCAAGTTTGACTACAGACCAATTAGAAACAATAGCACTAATTATAAAAAAGAATTTGGAAAGTGACAAGGAAATAAAGTCGGGCTATGCTGAAGAAATTGTTGAAAGTCCACATTTTCAAAGCTTAATTAACAAGTATTTTATAGAAAATATTCAGTATATTAATACTGCACAAGAAGGCACCAAAGAAGATAACGGCAATACAAAAACCGAAGAAATTTTCAAAAAACATGAATTGTTAATAGCTAAACTGTTAGATGAATTACATAATATTAAGCAAGATATTTTGCTGAACTATCAAGCCAATTCTGACTACTATTCAAAACTATCACTAGATATGAAAAAATGCTGCTCAAAAAGATATACTATTAACATAGAAGGTTATGTTAGTAAAGTGGTGACTGACCTACTGAACAACAAAGAGTTCTTAGAAAACCAGAAAGGTCTGAACGATTGGTTACGATCTCTATTCGTTGCAAAACAATATTTGGAAGATCGCTTAGGCAACATAACTGCCAACGTAGACGAGAAAATCGCTTCGATTGTAGAATCAAATAGCCAAACTATTATGAACCATGTGACATCTAAAATGGTTGAGTTAAATAGCAAACATACTACTGTAAAAAATACTGAAGTAGTTGGTGGGATATCTGAAGATGAAATTAAAAAAGTGGTAAAGGGAGTACTTGCCATCTACGATGCTGACAGAACGGGTTTAGTTGATTACGCCATGGAATCAATGGGAGGACAGATAGTGACTACGCGTTGCACCGAGCTATATCACTACGGAAAGGCAGTGGTTTCTATCTTAGGAGTGCCATTATGGTATCCAAGCAATTCGCCTCGCACGGCTATAAGGCCCGGTATGGCACCAGGAGAATGCTGGGCGTTTCAAAACTTCCCTGGGTTCGTGGTCATAAAGTTATCAGCCAGAGTAAGATTAGAAGCCTTTTCATTGGAGCATATCAGTCGTCTCCTGGTGCCTGAAGGTAAAATCGATTCAGCTCCGAAAGAATTTGAAGTATATGGCTTGGTACAAGAAAACGACAGGGAACCGGTACTGTTAGGTACATACACCTACGATTATGATGGAGAACCGTTACAATTCTTCCCGATTCAGACGCCGGGGCTCCAAGTATTCGACATGATTGAATTGAGGATCGTTTCCAATCACGGAAATCCAAATTACACTTGCCTTTATAGATTTAGAGTTCACGGACGGCTACATCACGAAGAGAACAGATGATTTTTAGAAACATTTTAATTTTTGAGACTTTTTACTTGCGCTAAGAAAATGCTGTTTTTATTTCTACTGATCTATATTAATAGACTAATAAATCAAACAACCTGCTATATTTTACGCTGAAGTTACAAAATAGTTCTTGGAATTGACTGGTTTAGTTAAGAATTAAAGAATGACTCTATTTGTGGCTAATTCATAGTTATAAAAATAAGTACTATAAAAGTAAACAAAAAATAACATTGAACTGGAACCAACGCAATAATTACTAAAAGTGATAAAGGACGTTAATTTTTTAAATAACATACTTCCTTATTTTTTACTGTTTTAAACTAAATTATTCAATTATCCATAGTTATAACAATACGATCGAAAAAAAAACGGAATCACAATGTTATTTGAAATGACATCTATTTATATATATAATTTCAGTTGGGTAGATTAAGGGCAGACATAAAAACTGGTCAAATATTAATATTTAATTAGAAAACGTATTCATTAGCGTTGGTCATTTGTAAATTAATTCAGTAAAAATAGTATTTTTATAAATTTGTCTGTAAGATTTTTACTTTTTTCTAAAATAAATATTAATTTAATTTTTGACAATATTTTATCTCACTTTTAATACTTGACATAGAGAGGTTGTCCAGATGGAAATTATTATCAATTCAGACACCGATTTTTTCGATCATATGGATTTTCTGTCATTGGCATATTTGTAAATATTAAGGTTCATTTATGTATGGTAAATTTATTTATTTTGTATATAACTTATATAGTAATTAGTATTTTTATATATAGATAAGCTACTTAACTACCAAAGAAGATGCGAGGTTTGTTTAGATGTAGATAATTGCCTAGGTATATATAACTTAAATATTTAATATAATTTGCATGAGTTTTAAAGTAAGATTTGTTTCATTTTATTTGGGTATTTGATCGTTTTTGTCAGTACTTAATTATTAAATGTTTAACTTATATATAAAAAAGATGTTTAGAGTTTCTGAAGAGGGAAATATTAAAAAAAATCAAGAACACTTGCTTTGTAATGGATTTTAATACAATTTTAGGTTTTCAAGATGTCTTTTCATTAAACTAACAAATGTATAAAGCAGTTTTTTGAAGCAATTCAATCATGAAAAAAATAAAATATTTATATATATATTTCTTCATATTTCACTCTTCAAGATACAAAAATAACCCAGGTAACCTGTGTATTAGATATAAGGAGCATATAATAATATAAATATGTAGATATAGATTTTTTAAAATAGATATTTATTAGAGCTATTGTAAAATAGATAAATAACAATTCAATATGTGCACTTGTTGATTAACGTGATTTCGAATAATCAGATTAAAACAGCTAATCTTTAGAGCTACGTATCGTTATATGGTTGAAACGTAAGAATGGAGATTTTGATGGCAATTAGTGGTAAAGTACAAATTTTTTAATATTTATATTTGAACTGAGTCTAAATTGTTTCATTCAATTTGCTAACAAAGTCGTTCATCTTGTGGTGTGTGTGCATGGAACTTTTTTCAATTTACCTATTTATTTTTTCTAATAGAGTTGACTTTTTAGTTTGTAAAAATATCTAAAAATAAGGGTGCCTTAACTTTTTTAATTTTTTATCGATGTTACAGATCTCTTTACTATTCTCAAAGTATTTTTTGTGTATGAATAAAATGTTTTTGTTTAATTTCGTATTTTATTTGCTAAAATTTAAATTAGTAATAGGAAAATAATCATAGTTAAATCTATTTAGGTGAATTAAATACAGTATTATACAGGGTGGTCCAAACTGTATTCCGGAAACTTCGGCAACATATTCTGCAGATAAAAATAAGTAAAAAATGTATGTCCTAAAATGCTTAGTTTCGGAGATGCAGAGTGTAGAAATTTAATTTTTATTTCGATTTTTCGCAAATAATTTCTGAAGTAACGTTAGTATTTGGATGATAATAGGTGTCTGGGAGTTTTTTGACAGGAAAAATTTGATTTTGATGTCAATATGACCCCTATTTGTAGCGGGCGCGACCTACATGTGTTTTAACTGTATTGAAGAGTCATAACCTTTCGCCCGTACTTGTATAAAACTACTGAGTGAAAAAATATACATTCTCGTGAATTTAAAAAATGTCTCTAGGTAAAAGTCACTACGACCAACCTTTCTCAAAATACTTGCATGGAAATAGTCAATACATGTCATTATTACAAAAAAGAGTTTTGTAATAAGTTGAGTAGATAGTTATTTGACTGAAATAATAAATTTGGGAAATCTTTATTCTTTTAAAATTAATTATAATTTTTTCTGTAGTCAACATGCTTTCAACATGTAGTCACAGCTGTAGTCATGTAGTAACAACAGCTGTAGTCAACATGTTATCTCAATGTTGATAGGTATTGATAATTTCGATTACAAATATCTCGAGAATCATTATTCGTAGAGATTTTTAAAAAGTGACCTTTTTACGTAAAAAACGACCTAAATGTATATTTTTTACTCAGTAGTTTTATACAGGTACGGATAAAAAGTTATTACTCTTCAAACCAGTTAAAAAATATGTAGGTGGCTCCCTCTACAAGTAGGGGTCATATTGACATCAAAATCAAATTTCTCATTTCAAAAAACTCCCAAATACTGATGTTACTTCATAAATTATTTGGAAAAAATCGAAATAGAAATGAAACTTCTACACCCTGTATCTCCGAAACTAAGCATGTTAGGACATACTTTTTACTTATTTTTATCTGCAGAGAATGCTGGCGTTTCCGGAATACAGTTCGGACCACCCTGTATATAATATACAGTCCCAGAAATAAGTGCAAGGATTTTAACTGGTAGTATATAGTTCAACCTCAGAAACACGCCTATGAGGTTTTTTCGCAAAAAAAAAAAATAAAATTCGGAATTTTTTGGATTTTTTTTAGTTAAAAAACATGTAAGTGGCGCCCCCTACATGGAGTCATATTGACATATCAAGACTTTGACTAGAAACAAAACTTTACTCGAGGTAAATACTCCAGAGCCGTTTGTGACAAAAAAATATATACCCTGAATATGTAGATAAAAATACATAAATTTTTCCAACAGAATTTATTTATTATTTTGCAAATAAACAAGTTATCAAAACATACCCGAATCCTAAATTCTATTGCAATCTTCTCTTGCGACCTTACTTCTTCGATCCCCATCCCCACAACCCCTTGACAAAACCGGAAATACCAGCACCTTGTTTAGCCTTTACTTGACCATCTAACTTTTCAGAAAGATCTGGGAATTGTACCAAATTCAAGGCTAAATCGTAAAACAGAGGTTTCGCCGGTACCGGCGTCATATTCGGAGGCAACGAAACTAAATTAGGATTTTTTGTAAGTAGTTGTGGTTCCTCTCTAAACTCGTCCAAACGCTCGATAAGAGGCTTCTTAGATTTGAACGATTTTTGAGGCACAGGTAGACTCTGATCATCCTGAGCGTCTAGAACAAAATTGGCCTGAGCTGTAGCTACTTCCACTTCATAAGTGTCTCTGACTATTGATAAAAAGGTTTTTAATTCAGTTCTATAATCGTTAAGTTTAAGCTGTTTGACGCTCTTTCCTGCAGAATCAAAAAGCACTGCTGCTTCTCTCCACCGTTTGGCAGTGGCATGCGTTTTAGCTAAATAGAACATCCTCAAAGCTTTGTATGCCATTAATTGTTCTTCATAGTACGACTGAATTGTAGAATTTTCTTTTATGGATTCATTTTGTGCCAGTTCAGTAGTTTGTTGAACGTTAATATCCAATAATCTAAGGGGATGATAATTTATTACTACAGGGTGCGCCAACAAATGGATTTTTTTATTATTGAGTTTTAAAAAAAAAGTATATGCGTGAGAGGTAAGTTTTTTTCAAAAAAAATAGATCACACCAAAATTGTAGATTATAAAATTATCTACAATAATGGTCCCTAAACTTTTTTTCTTCTAACAATTACCACTTCTGATATATTGCGATTCAAAATGTCGAGCGAGTTATGTTCTAGACATTATACAGACCGGACCACCGTAGTAGTAACATAGGCAAAACCGGACGAATTAGTGTATACCCGTCCGCCGGATAAAAAGCAAGCAAAAAAATGCGATAAAATAAAAATAGGTAGATATGTGATAAGATGTTTCTGAATTTGTATTTATTCGTGTTTTAATAGCCAAAACGAATTCATAGATTCTCGCGATAGCTCTCGTGTAAAATTTATTTTTTTAAGTAAAATAATGGATGTTTACGAAGTTCGTGAGAAAATTCAAATTGTAAATGGTATTTCCAAAATAGGTCTTATCGGGATATACAAACAATTTTTCCTCAAACTTTTGTAAACAGGTCAATTCCATCTTTACCTACTATATCAAGAGTTATTAATAATTTTGAAACACATGGGTGCGTGTCCCCACAAAAACACAAAAAGCCTGATGTGTTGATTAATGAAGAACAGGAGTTAAATCAAGTGTTCATTTGTGCTACCGCGGATCAAAATCCCACGTTTTCAAGTAATCAAATTGCTGAGGTAACAGATTCTTCACCTAGCACGGTTATAAGAGTCCTTAAAAAGAATGGATACCGATTGTATAAAGCGCGCAAAACTCAGGAAATTTTCCATGAAGACCAATTTCGGCGTATGGCGTTTTGTGAATCTGTAATGGAAAAGGCCAATTTAGATGAAAACTTAATTCGGCGTATAGTTTTCACCGACGAATCAAGTTTTCATTTATTGAGTCGTCATAACCCTACACAAGTGCGATATTGGTCTCGGGAAAATTTGCACAGATATTTTGAGGTACGCACGCAATATCCTCAAAAGCTAAATGTTTGGGGTGGTTTTGTAGGGGAGCATATGATTGGTCCATTTTTTATAGAGGGTAATTTAACTGTTGCAAAGTATTTGGACTTGTTACAGCAGCAGATTGTGCCTAGAATTCGTGAGTTATTGGGAGAAAGATTCCACAATGTCTGGTTTCAACAAGATGGTTGCCCTGCCCACAATGCCCGTATTGTTCAAGAATATTTGAACAATACTTTTCCCAACCGTTTAATTAGTGGATATGGAACTATTTTGTGGCCCGCTAGATCACCAGATCTTTCTCCCAATGATTTCTTTTTGTGGGGTTATGTAAAATCCAAAATGTATGGTCATAATAGGGCTAATAATCTGGATGAGCTTCAAGTAAACATACGAGAGGCTTTCCAAACTATTAGCCCTAATATGTTAGCCAATGTCAGACGGGGATTTTACGACCGCCTAGGCTTCTGTCTAGCACAAGAAGGTGGTCTTTTTGTGTTAGAAACACTTGTTATAACTTTTTTTATTTAGAGTAATATTTTATTTTTTTTATTTTATTGATGTATTTTTTAATTTTGGAAATTGGGTTTAGAGAATTTATTTATTTTTAGTTTTGGCTTGTAAACACACTCAAATAATAAATATTTAAGTATTTTTATTTTAAATGTTACTTTAAGTGAAGGTAAACACTTAAAATGAAAATAATAATTACTCGGCACTCCTCGCGTCGTATTTCTAGTCTGCTACGACCGACCCGTCCAAGCACAACTGTAACTGCCTACTGCCTGACCAGCCGACTAGCCGGCAGTGAATTTCAAGTACGAACGCAATCGGGTGAGCGTAAATTCGTCCGGCTAGTTGCTATGTTACTAGCAGCCTGGTCTTCTCTATACACATTTCTATGCCACCTAGGAGGTAGTGTACATGGCACGTTTTTTTAACATGGTTTCCCCGGTAGGCTTATTCCAGTAACGTTATTGGCGGAGTTTTATGGGACAATCTTCTAATTATTTCATTCTAGTTATTGATTTCTCTTGATATTTTAGTCTGCTTCATAACTTTCGAATTCAACTTCAACAGCCATGTCTTCTTCGATTTCTTGTTCTGTTTCTTCTTCTTCTTCATGGATGTTCACAAATTATTTCTTCAGTGGCATCGCACGAAGCCTCGTCAGCAGTATTTACATCAACATTCGAGCAAGACTGGCCTAGGCAATTAGTACACTGGTGAACAAAGTAATCCTACCTTTCTGCCATCCACATTTAGCATTACAGCCTTTTTGCAGGTGCAAAAAATAGTATTAAGGAGTTTTGCGGAGCAGGTTTTTTCAAGCAAGTTTGAATCGGTTCCAAACTATTATCACTTAATTTCCAACCCCAGTCTTCTGGGTTCAATTGATTAGCTAGCCATATTTGAATCGGATAGTAGATTCGACACAAGTGTTGCTGAGCTGAGGCCGATGTCGGAGGAAGACAAGATAGCTGTACTTGTTTATTGTTCTGTATTTTTTACAAAAGATAAATATTTATGTGTATTTGTCTATGCAATTTACTTTTTTGGGAGCTCCGTAAACAGCAAAGAGAAAGCGAATTCCTGCTGTGATTATCGATTGAGGAAAAGAACCAATTTCTTTAAATATTTTAGCGATGTCAATCAAATCTTTTTTTTTTTCAAGCTTTACTTCTGAAAATTGCTAATGTAGTATCACAGCCAGTTATCATATATGTAAAAATAAAATATGATTTAGCTATTTATGATAAGCAGATAAACTTTCTAAACAATATATTTTAGTTCGCTGTTGAGCTTTTCGACGTTTCAAAAAGTAAATAATTTTATTAATTGGAGTCCGTGCAGTGATCAACATCTTCGCCAACCACAATAGTTGTATTTGCTGTATTGAATTGTTCTATTGCTGTGTCAACTATGAGGGCATCAGCGTCATTTGCTGTCCTCCATTCGCGAATTTCAAGTTCCAGAGCTTTACGCCCTGGGGCTACTCAGAACGGTTCTGAAAGGAGCTGTGCGCGGTAGCCTGGTGCGTTCATATGGCGCGGAACAGTTCTGAACTTTATGACTCAATTGAATGGAGTGAGAGTATCGCGTTCTTGAACAGTTCAGAGCTGCACAACTGCGTGAATGGAGGATAGTAATTATGAGCTTGTTTCACTGAAATATATTCAGTGATCAGCTTGTCACTTAACATTGAAATAAAACGACATTTATTATGAACTTAATTAACTTAAATGACATTATTATTAACTTATTTAACTTTATTAGAAATTGGTGTTGGGTTGCTGGAACTATCATAAATTAATCAAAGATGATATCGGAACACGAAGGTGTTTTTGTAGTTCAACGACGTTGTTCTACAGCTTTAATATTTTTTGTAGTTACTGAGTCTGATTGAGTATCTTTTGAGAGTATATTCTCAAAATATATATATAATAGTATGGTTTATACATATAGAAGACAATATAAGCATTTTTACTTATATTAAATGTCCGATTATGTATATCTGCGACGTATGCCTGCATATTGCATAGAACTGAACTTGATCGATATTTTGAACCGCAATATCTCAGAAGTAGTAATTTTTAGAAAAAAAAGTTTAAGGACCATTATTGTAGATAATTTTTAAATCTACAATATTGGTCTGAACTATTTTTTTGAAAAAACGCAAAAAAAACGAAAATAATAAATTATAAAACTTTTTTAGCGGACGTGGGATCGATTGGGACTTTTTTCTTCTACTTTATAATGGTAAACCGAAGGTCTCTACCAAAAATTCAGCTTTGTCGGAATTTTGGTAGATTGAAATGTTGAAAATTAATCAGAGTAAATTTAAATATCCTCTTTACATATACATAAGTAATAGTATTTTAGTTTTACGGTCTAAGCTAATAATAATAATCCTAGTATTATCCAGAAATATGCTATCCATGGTTGAGTCCTTTGAAGAAGTCAATAAGAGTTCAAAGCAAAAGTGAGTTTAGGGTTCAAAATATTGAAAAAACTCTAAAAGAAAATTTGTTAACAATTCCACTACATGCAGAAAATGCAAAACCAAATATTTCCAATTTTCAAATTTTTGCGGTAAATGTATGGATATTTTTATTTTGATAAAAACGGCTTTGCTAAAAGTACACCATTTAAAAATCATTTTTACAATATAAAAATAAATTACGCCATGCGCCATTAAAAAATAAAGAAGAGTACCGGTCAAGTAAATGACGGCTAGGACTCGATGCAGTTTTTTTGAATTGTATGATACTGTAATTCATACAAAAAAATACATTTTTTTAAATAATTGAGCATTGATATTTTTGGGGTCCCTATTTAGATGTAAAAATAACAAGCCCAGATACAAAATAAATTCTGAATAATTTTTCTCTGTAAGTTAACTCCTATGACCTGTTCTTTTATTCAATAATTTGTCACTTCACTTATCCCCACTTTAAGCCCCGTTCTCAGAACTTTGTAGTGTCACACGTCAAAAGAACCGATGAGATTTGTAGAAAATTCAAACAGCTGTCAATTTTATATTAAAACAACTCTCATTGGTTCATTGAAGTGTCATTGAATTGTCAACTCAGTTAGCAGTTGTCGCGTGACATTTTTTTTGATATTGGGTTTGCTGAACAAATTCTGAATAAAGTTTTTTTTTAAACCTCAATAATAAAATTTCCCACTTGTTTGGTGTCCCAAACTTTTTGAATGATGGATTACCTAACACAATCCTGAGATCTCTTTGTCTGTTGTATTAATAAGAGATTTCTCTGCGATGTGCGCTCAATTCGAATAGAAAGTAAGTATGCCAAGAGTAACTGATCTTGTTTTTCAGTACGAGCACTTTCTCTTGTTAGAGAAATTACATCACGTAAATCAATAAATAAATTTTCAAGAATTTTTATTTTAGACTGATTATCTTCGGCGTGTTTAAGGGATTCATCTAATCCTGGAAAACCAAGTTTTATTAATTAACAATCTAGATTTAGTGTTAAAATAAATAAAATATTACCTTCAATACTTAATAAAAATAGCCTGACTTTTTCAATTCTAACAGGGATCTTTAGTCCAAACCATGTGATTTCATGTAAAACAACAGCTGTTTTTTCTTTTGATTGAGTAACAAATGCATCAAATGTTTCCAGAACTCCTAAAAACTCGAATGTAGAAAATGTAAACTGGATTTTAAAAAATCTACCTTGACTACGCAGTTCCAATAGATCAACAGCTTTATCATCACCAATATTGTAAGCACAATATCTTAAGCTGGGAGCTATTTCTTCTAGTCTCTGTTTATATGGCAACTGATCTTCTGCATTTAAAGTGGAAGCAATTTTTTCATAAATAACCTATTAAAATATTTGATAAAAATTTCTAAAATCTATTTTTATTAACTCCCTTATTACCTGGGCCTTTTTAAAATTTTCAGTTGCCTTTAACCACAATTTTAACTCAAACTGTAATGAGCCATGAATCCATGCAACATAAGCTTGAGCCTCAAGACATGTTCTGGCATCACATCTTTCTTGCTATATTTTATGTGTAGTTAATTAGATTAAAATATTTAATAACATTAAGTACAATATGATAAAAAAAATGGCGTCAGAGAAAGCTTGGAAATGAAGATTGTTGTCATTTTATATGGAAAATTGTAAGGGGAATCTAATTGATCATTTCCAAACCAACACGATACGATTTTTTACGATATTGTACATTAGAGAACTTACTTTACATAATTCATTTAACTGTAATGCATAAATGCAAGCCTTTCTTAACTTCTGTATTAAATGGAACTTTTTCCTCTGCTCAGTGTTTGCTTCTTGACGTAGTTGCATTGCATAGGACCAGCATCTTTCTGCCAACATCAAAGGTATATGCAAGTACCTTTCATCAGCTCTACAATTTTATGTTGATATAATCACTATTTTATAGATTTCAAACAAAAGTAATATTCACTTTGAATTGTTTATATGGCTCTCTGTAACATCTCTTTTCTTAAAGTGTCTCCGATCTCCTTGAGGCATCTTCAAAACTTTACGAAGACGTCTAATACGTCTTGAACAATATCCCCGGTATCTTTGATAATCTCCATGTCTTAGACCATGTTGCTGTTGATAATCTTTGATTATTTTCAGAACTAGAAATATATGTGAAAATATTCAAAAAACTCCCAAAATTTTAATAATTCAATTCTTGAAAGACAACAGATGGAAGATTAAACTCACTTTCTAGAGTTAAAGGTGCCACGACTACTAACTCCGTTTTTGATTTATCTTCATCTCCTGGTTGTTGAATTTGTGCAGATTTATTTTCAACCATTTTTAGTTTCGTTTAAGTTAAATATCTGAATTATTCTTAAAATAATATACCTTCAACAATAATATAGCTACAACACAACACAAGATGGATTGGAATGTGATTAGAACTAGAGATGGGAAAGAATCGATTTCAAAAATCGATTAATCGATTTTTGCGTGAGTATCGAAAAATCGATATTTTTTAATTTTTTAATCGAGTAATCGGTAATTCGATTTTATTCCTCTACTATAAAGAAAGTAATAAGTAAATTGTTGCAAAATTAAACAATTCCCTTTACAAATATTTAGATACAGTACGTCTGTCCGTTCTGTAGCTACGGGGTATCCGTGAGAGGGAAAACGATATTATCTCGATGTTTTTCGTAAAAAATTAGACGACGCGTCTCATCAATAAAAAAACGACAAATTTGCAAGTAGCCAATAAAATGAGTGGGCGGAGCGATTTGCGGTGACGTACTCGTCAAGTCGACGTATAAAATATACTGTTGTTTATTTAAATGTTTTTCGTCCGTATTCTTTTCATAGACAGAGATCCAGCAGACGTGCTGTACTTTGGCCCTAAAGTATTTATGTATTCTTGCAACGTCAGTGCCCTCTGAGAGGGTTTTTTCACAGGCAGGCATAATAATTTCAGCCAAACGAAGTCGATTAAAGTAAAAAATGTAAATAAAATGATTTTTGTAAACAAGAACCAACAAGTTTTAAGTTTGTAAAGCAATATTTATCTATGTGATCTCTACCTCTACAGGAGGAACAAAGAACTAATGTTTTTTTTATTGTTTTGTATTATTTATTTTTTTTATTCTTATTTTTTTGTGGTGTAGAGTGTTAACCTAGTGTGTTAACTTTAGGTGTGGAGTGTTAACCTAGACCAATAGTAATAGTGTAATACCATACCAACATCTTGATTTGTAACTTGAATGACGATTATTTTTTATTAATAAAATATATTAAATAGAATTAATGTTTAGATACATTTATTTAAAAAAATTAAAAATCGGCTTTTTAATCACACCGATTTTTTAAATCGATAAATCGATTAATATTTAAATTTATAATCGAAAAATCGATCTACCGTGGAATCGATTTTTTCCCATCTCTAATTAGAACCCGATTGGAATTTGTCAATCTTGACATTGACATCGACAACATAGATTGACATTCAGTATTGAACCACAGAGCACAAATTTAACTCATGGCGTGGCAAAAACAAAGGAAGAACAGAGATATAGGGTTAAATTCCACTTTTGGCTTTAGGTCTGTTCTCAGAAGAATACGTGACTAGTCAGCACGTTTCTCATTGGTTAAAATTCGTAGAAACCTGATTGTTAGTCTGGTTTCTACACATTTCAACCAATAAGAAACGCGCTGACTAGTAAGGGATTCTTCTGAGAACAGGGCCATAAACTACTTTACATGTAGTTAATCTACGTAGATACTACGTAGATAGTGTAGTTTATGAGGAGTTTATTTGAGGTAGGTTTGGGGTAATAACAAGTTGAAGATGAGTTGAATCTTTAGAAAAGAAAGCGTCAAATAAATTATTTACAATCGGAGGACAATGATTAACCGACCACCATAAATATTATAAAGATAATATGGTATGGTATATTGTAAATGAAGTTGAAAAATATACTTCCTACAAAGTCTTGACAAAGATTACTGACTAGGTGATTAAAATCTTATGATATTTTATATTTGGTTATTTTAATTTTTTTTTCATTTTTTATATCTTATAATAATTTTAATATACAGGTTGTTAATTTGTTTATTACTCGCGGCAAGAGCTTTATGGTTGAAATATGGCAACCTCGGCCCGCTCGTCGATAGACGACGCGACGGGACGAGTAGACAGAGAGAATACGCAGTGTTGCCATTCTGTTCCCCTATAAGTAACTGTCCAGTTAACAATCTGTATATTGTATTATCCGTATTATCCATTATAAAAAATGTCTATACCCTGAGTCTATACCTACTATGTTACAGATTATTATTTCCTATGTGGCGGATTTTCAAAAAACTCCTATATGGACTCCCCAAAAAAGTCCTATATGTGTATTTCGCCACTGCAAGAAAATCTACAAAATAAAATAGTTATTTTTTGTAAACACTGCTGCGTTAATCCAACAGAGACTACTTGTCAGCAGTCAGCAGTTATATAGGTTTACTGAAAAACAAATTTGCCTTACGAACAAAAAAATGCTTAACGTTTCGGAAAGCTCATCTCTTTCCGCCGTCGGAAGCAAAAAAATACAAAGAACAAAGAAAAAACTATTTAAAATATTTAAATGCAACTATTCGAGAACACTTTAGTTGTTTTAAAACAGATACGTCTACAAAAATCGTTGCCGTTCTGTTAAAATAACAAAACAAATAGTTTTTTCCTTTGTGCTTTGTATTTTTTTTGCTTCTGACGACGGAAAGACATGATAAACTTTCCGCAACGTTCGTTAACAGCGCTTTCAGATGGAGCGGACCGTCCGCGACGGAGCGTCCGCTACTTCGAGCAAGTACCATGAGTTTATATGAACAATTTCACATGGGCGCGTATGCTCCGTCCGACGGAGTTCGTCCTGAAAAAACACGACGGCTATCTTGAAAAAACACGACGGACGGTCCGTCGCGGACGCTCCGCTCCATCTGAAAACGCTGTAAGCATATTTTGTTCATTAGGCTAATTTGTTTATTGGTAGACGACTGCTGACAATGCCTCCGTCCACCTCCGAGTTGGATTAACTCAGCAGTGTTTACAAAAAATAACTATTTTATTTTGTAGATTTTCTTGCAGTGGCGAAATGCCCATTTAGGACTTAGAGATTATCTATAATATTTTGTTGTTTTTGTTAATTGATAATTTTTTAATAAAATAAATAATTTATGCCTTATATGTTTCATCAAAATTAATATTTTTATTTATGATTGTTTTTCTATCGTAATAACAATATGTAGTTTATTAAGTATAGTTTTCATAAAGTTAATAAATGAGAAAAGACGTAGCTTTTGCAGAGAAACTACACGTGTAGTTAATCAGGTAAATTATGAATTAACTACTTCCGAACCCTGAATACCATTTACTAAGAATACATACAAATACTGCGAAATAAATTACATTTATAGTGAATACCAAGCATACCCACCTCTGCGCGCCACTAGTGCAATTTTTAAAAACCGTTGGTTAATTTTAGGCAATTAATTTATTTTGCATAAGGTTACACTTAATTTGCATAGGGTAAAACCTTGGTAAAACTTAATTTTGAATTTGCCAATGGTATTTGCTCTCGAGGGGAGCTACAACTAACCTTGTGCAAGAAAAAATTGTATAACTCTAGTACCTCTGTCCCCTAACAAGGGTGACAAAATTTTACCCTGCGGCGCAGGCGTACAGAATTACTCTAGGGTTCCTCTACGTTACAACGCCTGCAATAAATTCTCACTGTCCTTTTTTTGGTAATACTACTACACACACTTGTAGTAGATAATACTGTTTTCATAGATATAGAAGGTGCGTTTGACAAAACCAGTTTCCGATAAATTTTCTCCTTCTCCACAAGAGCAGTGAAAATGTATACAGAAGACAGACGTATTCTACGTAGAGAAATCCTGTAAAGCGGCTGTCCTCCGCATAAATTTTCTGTTAATTCGGAAAACATAGCGAAGAGGGAAAAATAAAAATTAGACCGCATTAATAAAAAACGAACCATTAACGACTGTTTTATTATATTGATAACTAAAATATGAACAATATTTATATAAACTCAAAATTATAACAACCGAACAAATATAAATAAAATAAATAATACATTAAACTTAATAATCAAACAATTCTTTTAGTTTGGATCTCATATCTGGATCAACTTGATTATGAAACCATTTCGAAGTTAGATCTAAAAGTTGTACGCCCATGGAAATGTATTCTAAAAATATAGAAACAGACTTTAAATTTCGGCAATTAGGTGGAACATATCTTAAATTAATGTAAATAAATTGACAGTAGCCCAATATAAATAACTATTATTTTTATCACTTTGTAATACAATTAACTGTTTCTAGACTTTATATTGAAAGTTTCCATTCTATTTAGTAATTTTTTCAAAAGTTATTGGTATGAAATCAAATGAGCAAACCTTTTCATATTTTAATTATTTCAAAATTTATTATTGAATCGTTTTGTTAAACTGTAGTTATGAACTAATATAGATATAAAATACAGGGTACAATATACAATACTGTCGTAGCTCCTATAATATGTTAAAAAAACTTATAACTTCTAGAGTGGCTCAAAAAATTGTGAGTGGATCGGAAAGACTTTTTAAACGGAATACCTTGTATATTATTGAATTTTTGGCTTTCTCTCTGATTACTTTGAAAACATTTGGGCCTCTTTAAAAAAAATATTAAAAATAGAAGAAATGTCCTGAAATCAAAACTACACTAGGTATTTGCTATAGTTGGTCTGTACTTACTTTTTTATAAATATTGTAATCTTAAACCATACCAGTATCTGTCTATTTAAAATTCTATGCTAAACTTTCTAAAATATAAAATATGTTTTCTCATTTTTCATCCTGTATATTATTTCTTTTTTTTAATCCACGTGTAATATAATACCACGACTATCTGCAAAACCGTTAAAAATTTCAATATTATGGATTATATTCAATACAAAATATAATCATTTTTTAATTCTCCAACTAACAAAGGAATAATATACAGTGTGTTGCATTAAAAAAAAAACGAAAAACTATTTTATATTTTAGAAAGTTTAGTATAGAATCTTGAACACCCTGTATGGTTTAAGAATACGATATTTATACAAAAGTAAGTACAGAACAACTATTATTGTAAATACCTAGTATACTTTTGATTTCATGAATTTCTTGTATTTTTAATATTTTTTTTTAAAAGGCTAAAAAAATATTTTTTAAATTTATTTATTAATATCTCTGAAATTATCAAAAGGTGTTTAATCTTAGGATTATGTAAAGCGATCAGAAAGGAAACCAAAAATGCAATAACATACAGGGTGTTAAATTTAAAAACATATCCCTATCCACTCACACTAATTGGGAGAATGTTCCGTTCGTATCCGTTCGCATTCAGAAGGAAATCTTACTCAGATGTATAATACAGGGTGTCCCATTTTGGTTCAAATCATATAGTATCTCCGCTATTAGTGAAGATAGAAGGAGTGAAGATAGTTTGTCAAACGGAAGTTGCTGTAAACAAAATTTTCATAACCCTCTTCTTCTCTAATTTGTCTAAAAGTATTTTGTGATTTACCGTATCAAATGCTTTAGCGAGATCTACGAATATACAGAGGCTTCGATGTCCCGAGTCTAGAGCATCATAGATTGATGATGTCAATGCATGAACGGCATCCTGTGTTGATTTGCCTTCTAAAAAACCAAATTGATTTTTTGATATTATGTTAAATTTTAGAAAGAATTTTAACAAACGTTTTTTTTTATAACTGTTTTAAAAATTTTAGAAAAAACTGATAATATAGATATCGGTCTATAATTGCCTATATGCTCCTATCACCCCCTTTATATAATGATTTAATTACACCTACTTTAAGACAGTCCGGAAAACAACCACTTTCGATACAATAATTTATCAAAAACGTTAAAGGCTTTGATAAGATTTTATTCTCCTTGATATTTCCGTTGAACATTTTACAAAGAAATGATCAATGCATGTACCGGATCTTGGTCTAGTTATCTTATTAATGTATGAGTTGAAGTTAAAAGATGCCAATATATTTTTATAGTGTTCTACATAATCTTTTTCATCAAATAAATTAATATTTATATCACCAACTAAAATGTGTGAGTGTAACTTCTTTTTTTGAGAAAGATACCTCTCAAAGCTTGTAATAAAATCTAATTCGTTAATACTAGGAGACTTATAAATAGCAGATATACAAATATTTTCAATGTTTTTTTACCACCCCCATGGTTTTTTACCACCCCCTCAAAAAAAAAAAGCCGGAGATACGGGGACTGCCCAAATTGCAAAATTTTCGAACAGACCCTGTAGCTCAGAAATGAAGAGGGGTATGAAAATATTGTTGACAGCATCTTTCGTTTGACAAAAAAGTGGGACAGGTTTGTGCAAGCCGCATCCTCCTATCTTTACTACTAACGGAGATACTGTATGATTTCAACCAAAATGGGACATCCTGTACATACATGCATTTGCAGCGAATATAGTGAACAAGATTTTTTGCTCTTAATCTAGTGTCAGACGAATGGGTTCAGTGCGAATGAAAATTTTCCATCTGTCGGTAAAAGTGAGTAGGATCAGTGTCAAAATCACGTAACTGTTATCTAAACTCGTATAAAACGGTGATGTGATCGCGACTTCTGGTAACAACGTTTTTCGGAGTTGACGAGACATGAACTTGAGGGAGGAGGGCTATGGACAGGTCCTCACAATAGAAATTAACCTCAAATTCAAGGAGGCAAAAGTGGGATATATCCTCTATTATAGATTCGGGACAACATTGGAGTTTACAGAGAGACCAAGTTAAAAATAATATTAGTCAGCTCGGCGCCGAATATGTCCATGGTTGGCAACAATGAATTTAAAAATCGCACCCTCGATTACGTAACTAAAACTTTAATTGATATCGAACATATATTGTGCTAATACCCATTATAAGGTATGTATTTTTAGCCATAAATAATGCATTCTGATATACATACCTACATATACAGGGTTGTTCATCACATACGACACGGAGTATTGTAGCTAAACGATGAGATTTTTACAAATTGTAAGTTTGCAAATTGTAAGTCGGTGAAGGACTATTAGAGCTACAATTTAAAAATATTTTTACAAGATACAGAGTGTCCTAAATAAATAAAAAATATCAAAGTTGTATTTTTTTAAATGGAACACCCTGTATATTATTACATTTTTAGTTTCTACGATTAAAATAAAGGTAAATTTAATTAAGGTTTATTACACTTAAGCCTTACCGCTTTTGAAATATTTTCAATTTTGTGAAATTGCAGTAAAAATTTTAAGGCTTCATTTCTCCAAGGGTATCAAAGTTTTTAATACTAAATATTTACTGAAGTTTATTTATTGATCAGTTATTGTGTTGCAATAATAAAAATAATACTACCTTATACAGAGTCCAGAAATTTATTTTAAATAATTATTAGATTTAAACGACAATAACTTGTTTAATTTAAATGGAACACCCTGTATATCTTATTAGAATCAGATGCACAATTTAATTGTCTATCAAATTGTATTATACCATTTTTTACCTATCTCTTTAAGTTTCCGTAGAAAATGCATTTTCTTGTAATTTAGAACTTATTTATCAATATACCCATGGAATACTGACATTTTAGATTATTTTTAAAGATGTACCAAATTTTTAAAGAGTATATATACTAATATTGTCGATATAATTCGTTTATTTCATAAAAAAATAAAAAAAACTGTTTAAATATTTGTTAAAAAGGAGCAATTAATATGATTCCAGTATTGAAATTACATTAAGTGTTTGCGTTGATTAATAATAATTGCCCCAAATACTACACCTTAAAAATGATATTTCATTTTTTAATAAATGCTTATTTATAACAACAGAGACGTTCATTTTCATAACTTATTATTACATATATTGATTTCTGATTCAAATCCACATTTATTTAGAATAATTTATTAACGAACACAATTAAGTATGTAATTAATTAGTATTTGGGCGGAAATAATGGCGTTATATTTAATTAATGATATACTCTTTTATAAAGATTTAAATTATTTTCTTTTGCATACAAATGGGCTAGTAATATTATCGTTTTGCTAATGACCATTTTGTACATTTGTTGCTTTAAAAACAATCTAAAATGTCAATATTCCATGGGTATATTGATAAATGAGGTCTAAATTATAAGAAAAGGCATTGTCCACGAAAACTTGAAGGGATGAGTAAAAAATGGTATAACACAATTTGATAGACAATTAAATTGTGCATCTGATTCTCCTAAAATATACAGGGCGTTCCATTTAAATTAAAGAAATTATTAGCGTTTAAAGCTAGAAATTGTTTAAAATAATTTTTTAGACACTCTGTATGAGGTAGTATTATTTTTATTACTGCAACACAATACCTGGTCAATAAATAAACTTCAGTAAATATTTAGTATTAAAAACTTTGATACCCTTGGAGAAATGAAGCCTTAAAATTTTTACTGCAATTTCACAAAATTGAAAATATTTCAAAAACGGTAAGGTTTAAATGTGATAAACCTTAATCAAATTTGCCTTTATTTTAACAGGAGAAATATGGCTTTAAATATAATATTTACATCATATTATCTCTATTACACCTCATACAAAGGAAAATTATTCATAATATCAATACATAGTTTATTAACGTAGTTTGCATGTAGTTAATGAATGGGAAAAGACGTAGTTTTTGAAGAAAAACTACACGTAGTTAATCAGGTAAATTACGTCTTAATTAACTACTTCCGAACCCTGGTCGTATGTGGTGAACAACCCTGTATAAAGGCTGAAATATTTGTGAACATTTTTTACTTTTTTAAAGAATATTTCAAAATGGAGTTTTTTTTATTCAATTAGGTATTCTTCAATTAACTTGTTTTCTTAGTTTCTTATTGTATAACAAATTTAAATAAGAATCGGAAATAATGATCACTCGGTTATAGCGCACAAATTTGTCTATCCCTTCGTGTTCTTAACCGTTATAACCAATATAAACCTTATAACCGCCTGTATTTGAGTTTTTGACATTATTTTAAAGTGTATATTTTATATTACAAGGGTTTGCCGGTTCCTCTAATCTGACTCTGCTATTATAGCTTTGAATGTTGTACTCACCTGAATCAACCAACGTATGATCTAGTATTTCCGGTAGTTCGGCAACATCTTCAACGTTTTCAACAATTTCGGCTGGTGTAGGAACGTTTGACCTGTGATGTTCGATTGGTGTAAAATTATTCGGTCGAAGCACAACATTTTGTAATATTTTTATTTTCTCTTGAGGTACTATCCTGATTTTCTCTTGAGGTACTTCTACCCTCTTTGGAGTTTCTATCTCCAATTCAGGCCAATCGTATTCAGAACTCGTTGATTTTCTTTCATTCAATTCCGGAAGCAATTTAGGACTTTCGCTGTTTTCTGTTTTATCAGAGCTTATAGCAGATCTGACACTATTTTTATATAAATATTAAATGCTATACTAAAGGATATTATTAATGATAATAATAAGAAAAACATACCATGTGTCCATGTGTCCATATATTATTGGTTTAAATGGTGTCGATTTTTTAACCACTTAGGGAACATAAAAAAAGAGAAAAACAAAATAATCACAAGAAAAGTCAAATTAATATAATACCCTATGAAAAAAAAAAACGGTGGCAGTGAAGATCGCTGTCATTTTATATGTAAAATTATATAGAGAATGTCATCGATGACGAATCGAAAAGTTGACTTGGAAATGACCCAAGTCAACTTTTTTCCGCCGTTTGGACGCCGTTTTTTTATACAGTATATAATATGTATAGTCCCTGTCTACTGTGAAACTATATGATTTCTAAAGACGAGATATATACAAGTAATATCCTATTTGTGGTATAATATATGGTACATACAAGTATACAGGGTGTTCCTTAATGACATTCTAATATTATTTAAGGAGATGATTCTTGGACCTATTCTAAGAAAAACAACTTCATATTAATGTATGTCCTAAACATCTTAATTTTTCAGATACAGGGTGGTAAAATTTTATTTATGTTTTTCAAAATATCTCTGATGTTATATTTGATACACGTCTTCCATGCATCAAAATGCTTAATTTGGTATACAAAAAAAATGTTTTATTTCTTAATTTCCTTCCAGCCGATGTAGAAATGATTTCCATACAATAGTCACCGCATTAGATTTTCGGCGATTTGACCCTGAAGTAAAGTGATTTTATTTTTTTTAAGCTAGAACTAGGTAGTTAAAAAATGTTTGGAGATGAATGGAGATTTTGAAAATAATTTTTACTTTAATAGAAGTCACTGGTGTACTACTTTTTTCTCCAAAAATATTCAATGTAAATCTCGTATGGACGGCACTAATTGAAATAAATAAAATTCTTTGTACACCAAAAAAGGTATTTAGATACTGAGAAGACGTGTATTAAGTTTCATAATCTATAAATATATCTATAATAAAATCACAGTTATTAATTAAGAAAAAGGTAATTATGAAAACAATTTTTTTTAGAAAATTTTACCATCCTGTATATCAGAAATTAAGATGTTAAGGACAAACATTCATATGAAATCTTTGTCTTAGAATAGGTCCAAAAATGACCTCCTTAAATATTAGCATGCCATTAAGGAATGCCCTGTATAGGAAAGTCTCTGCAATAACCCATCACAACAAATTAAAACTACTGAACACATTGATCTTCCCTATCGCTACTTATGCATCTGAGACAGTGGCGTAACTTGACAACTGGGGGCCTCAGTGCAAGATATTTTTGGGGGCCCCTGAGTAAAGAACAAAATCAAAATAATGCATATTTTTTATTAAATATTTTTTTTGAATGGCTCCCATGTTCCTGTGGGGCCCCGGTGCTTTGCACCGAAGTACCCTATGATAGCTACGCCACTGATCTGAGCCCTGGACTACAAACAGAAGAAAAACAGAGGCTTTTGAAATGTTGGCCTACAGAAGAATCCTGCGAATTTCAAACACGGAACATCGGACCAACGCAACGTCTCAATTCTAAGGCAGTTAAAAGTTACTACAAAACTTTCAACCAAAATAAACCAGTCATACCTTAGGTACTTCGGGCACATATCGAGGACTGGAAAAATCATAATTGAAGGGAAGATTAATGTCAATCGACCAAGAGGAAGGTCTCCGACGCGCTAGGCGGACCAAGCCAGAGAAATTATTGGTCACGGTCTACAAGAGGCTTCTCTAGCCGCTCAAGATAAGAGAGGGATGGAGAGAAACGATTAGAGACATAGAGACATGATATTAGATATTACCCAAATATAAATAAAATAAATAAATAAATAATGACTTTTATTGTATAGAGAGTAATATTACAAATATACAATATTACACAATAATTGGTAGGAGTTTGGCGTTATCCACTCTTCCACTCCACCATAAAATAAAAGTAAATGATTCTGCGCTTAGAATTCGAATTATAAGGACGAGAAGAAGAATATTTGTATGTATTAAATGTACATACCGGGTGCGTTTCAAAACTGGCTCACCCCTATTTTTCAATTTGGTTTTTCAGATAAAAAAAACTACATTTGTTATGTTAATATATACGACATAAATTAGGATTGATTGGCGTATTCAATTGTTTTTGGTTACTGCCTGTTTCACCGGAAATGACTACAACTTTTGAATCGCACTAAAAGAAGTTCTAAAAAGAACAATGTTCGGCTGCAGGGTTTGCTAATAAAAAAAGCTTAATGTATCATAACACAATTCATTTAAACCGAAAACTTCTAATACAAAACTAAAGTGTCAAAACGACAATGACAATGTTAGGAAAAAAATAAATAAACATTTTTTACTACATTAGAGCTACCACCTGAATTCCCAGCGAGAAATTCAAATTCCAGTTAGTCAGCCCAGTGTCGAATATGTCCTTGGTTGGCAACAATGTATTTAAAAATCGGGCCCTCGATTACGTAACTAAAAGTTTAATTAGTATCGCTTATATTTGTTTAACCTGTGCATACTCTGTCTATCGTATTTTACCCCGGAAAGAGCGAATATGGTATATTTTCAAGGGTAAATATATAGGTATTATAAAAAACTAACCTTTACTTTTACGTGTCTTTGGAGTTTTTCTTTCGAAACCTTTCGACCTACTTTTGGTCTTGCTTTCCTTTGCGCGTGGCATGTCTCGTTCAAGATTTACTGTAATGAAAAAACTTTATTGAATGAGATTAAACATAGTTCCTTACATACGCTGGTCTAAGTAAGAAAGATCGGTTGGATCGAAAAATGTCCTTCTTTTCTTTTTTACTGGTGCTTTACTATCTTTATTTGTCTTTCTCTTATTAGGATTTTTCCAGGTTTCCCTGATATCGACATCCCATTTTATCAACTCTTCCAGCAATTCATCTTTTTCAGATTTCTTGGATACTCGAATTTCTAAAAAATTAAGTGTAAACTTGGAAAACAAGTTCGTTATAATAATAGTTATTATTTCAAACGGCACAACAGCATTCATTTTTGCGACGTGATTGACAATTGATTGACAACATAAAAAAATCATTTTAAAGCTTAGGTATAGAAGGAAAGCACTTTTACACCTAAGCATAAAAGTTAGAAAATATATTATTAAACTGACATACAGTCTCTGACCATAGATCTCTGATGAAGTGTCAAATTCAAAGAGCGTAATCATATTTCTCGATATATTAATATATAATTACTTACAAGGTATTACTTTTAAATCTTTGTATATTATTTGAAACGTTTAAATAAAACAATATATTATTATTGTCCACTCTTAAAATTCAAAATATGCATTCTTTTTAAAAATCCTCGACTTACCTAGTAATGCTAAGACTTAAAGGGTACCTACATGCAACGATTTGATCTGCATGCCAAATCGCACAGTTCAGATCTTAAGATCAAATCGATAAACGATTGCATGTTGACAGATCTCAGATCTTATCTCTTCGATGAGATCTTTATCGAAATCGCCACTACACGTTGAGATTTGAACTGAATAGAAGTACTGTACAGTTCAAATCTCTCAAATATCATTACGTGTAGGGCACTTTTTAGACTTAAAGGAGCCCTACCGATGTATGATCTGCATGCCAAATCGCACAGTTCAGATCTTAGGATCAAATCGATAGTGAACACAGCACGTTCGGATTTTATAAAAGATAATTTCTTCAGTCTATAGTCTAGTACAATCCCGAGCAAATATGTGGTCTGTTCAGTTAAAAATATTCATTGCATCTTGACAGATCTCAGATCTTATCTCTTCGATGTAATCTTTATCGAAACCGCCACTACACGTTGAGATTTGAACTGAACCGATGAACTGTACAGTTCAAATCTCTCACATATTACTACGTGTAGGACCCTTTCTAGATTTAAAGAGGCCCTACACGCAACGATATGATCTGTATGCCAAATCGTACAATTCAGATCTTATGCCGGGTCCAGACCAAGGCGTCAAAAAGTAAACACGATTTTGAGACAAAAACAAGACAAACTTCTGACAAGAGAAGCTTGACACCGCAAGAACAAAAGTACAACAAAGTTTTATTAACCATGTGTGATTTCACTGGTAACAACTACTGTTGGCAGCACACGCCATCCACAGTACGCCGACAGCTTGTCCTAAAATATACGAACAAAACATTGACACTTTGATCTTTACTCACTCGAGACGGGACATTGAAAAGTCTTCGAATTTTGAAACAATACAAAAATGAGACAAAAATGTCGCTGAAATGTATTGGATTTGTCGCAATTTTGTCGTAAAACATGAATGTTTCTGTCTTGTAGTTGTTTTGTCTGCTTGGTCTGGACCCGGCATTAAGACCAAATCGATAGCGATCGTTTCACACTAAACCTTCAGATTTTATAAAAGATAATTTCTTCAGTCTATAGTCTAGTACAGTTCCGGCCAAATCTGTGGTCTGTTCGTTTAAAAATATTCAGCATGTTGAAAGATCGCAGATCTTATCTCTTCGATGAGATCTTTATCGAAACCGCCACTACACGTTGAGATTTGAACTGAATCGAAGATAATTTATTCAGTCTATAGTCTAGTACAGTCCTGGCCAAATCAATGGTCTGTACAATTAAAAATATTCAGCATGTTGACAGATCGCAGATCTCATATCTTAGATGAGATCTTTATCGAAACCCCCGAGATTACGACTGAATCGAAGGACTGTACAGGGTGGGTCAAATTCGACGCTTTTAAATGACGAAATGATTCTCAATAATCGATCGATAAACTCATAACTCATATCAACACAAAACCATAGAATATTAGCTCTGTAAAAAACAACACTCTCAGATAGCCGTCTATAAACTATAAACAGACTGCCTCGCCCGCAGTACCGGTGCTCAGATACCAAATTTTACCTAATTGTAAATATTTGCATTATCTGTCAATGAATCTTACTATTGTTCTTAGTCGTCTTTGAAGTAAGGTGTCTTAAAGGACCCTACACGCAACGATATCTGACAGATTTGAACTGTACAGGGTGGGTCAAATTTGACGCTTTTAAATGGAAACACCCTTTTCTATAGGAGATAGACGAAAACTAATATCGGTGTCTGGAGCTCAATTTTCATCAAAAACATGATAGTGAAAACCGCACATCAATATCTGTTACCGTTTCAGAGTTACGGGGTATTTTTCAAAAATGTGCATTTTTAACAAATAGCTGTAACTTTTTTGCTATGGAAAATTTTGTATTTCTATGAAAACATTTCCAAAGCACCTTTTTACATAGAATTTAATGGCTTAAGTATAATTTTTTTTAAATTAATAATTTAAGAGTTATCAACAGAAAAATTGATTTTTTATTTGGGTCACCCTTTATATTTTTAATTAACTAAAAAGAATTTAAAATTACCTTTCCAAAAATATAGCACACTTGATATTTTGTTATAATCCCCTTCGAAATACAGAATTTTTAAAAGTTCGCCACTTTTAACTAGTAGGCTTTGGACCCCTTATTGATGATATGCCCCTGATGGAACTTGAAAACATATTTTTCCAGCAAGACGACGCATCGCCTCTGAACGCTGAAGTTATCAGCAAATTTTTGCAACCAATTTCAAGAATAATTGAATAGCTAACCAAGATCCCAGCCGTTGGCCGTCGAGGCCGCCTGACTTAGTACCCATGGATCTAATCCTATGAATATATTTGCGGAAGAATAAAGGTTCCTTATTCTTCCGTATAATCTAGACAAGAATTAAAAATACTTAGCAGTTATGTGAGGGTATCTTTCGCCTCCACTGAGTTAATTAATTCCGCGAGAAATGTTCAAAAACTGCCCCGTCTGTCCATAACAGAACACGGTAACCAACACCTGTAGCAAAATCTCATGTCTTGGTTTGCTATTTGTTTTTATTGTTATTAGACATAGTTTAAATGTGTTGATGTTGGTTAAATATATTTTAAATTGTTATAAAATTCTGCATCTCTCATAGCAAATATTATTTTCGTTTTAATTGATGCTCAATGCTCGCAGCTAGAATTTTTTTGCATTACAGCCGGTGCCGTTCAAAGCCTACTTGTTTAAAGCGGGGGAATTTTTATATACTCTATATCTCGAAGAGGAATCGAGCAAAATATCAAGTGTGTTATATTTTTGGAAAGGTAATTTTAAATTCTTTTCAATAAATTAAAAATATACAGGGTATCCTATATAAAAAATCAAATTGTGTGTTGATAATTCTTAAATTATTAATTTTAAAAAAATTATACTTAAACAATTAAATTCTACGTGAAAAGGTACTTTGGAAATGTTTTCATAAAAGTACAAAATTTTCCATAGCAAAAAAGTTACAGCGATTTGTTAAAAATGCATATTTTTGAAAAACACCCCATAACTCCGAAACGGTAACAGATATCCATATGCGGTTTTTACCATCATGTTTTTCACAAAAATTTAGCTCCAGACACCGATATTAGTTTTTGTCTGTCCCATATAGAAAAGGGTGTTTCCATTTAAAAGCGTCAAATTTGACCCACCCTGTACACTTCAAAGACGACTAAGAACAATAGTAAGATTCATTGACAGATAATGCAAATATTTACAATTAGGTAAAATTTGGTATCTGAGCACCGGTACTGCGGGCGAGGCAGTCTGTTTATAGTTTATAGACGGCTATCTGAGAGTGTTGTTTTGTTACAGAGCTAATATTCTATGGTTTTGTGTTGATATGAGTTATGAGTTTATCGATCGATTATTGAGAATAAAATCTCTTAAGAGGCGTTGGGGTCAGTGAGATTACCCCAATTAGCTTTATCGATTGGGATGGAAACTGTTTCTGTTTAGCTCCAGATATGCGTGCACGGAAGCCCAAACTATTTCAGCTGACCCTAACTAGTTGTTGAAGATGATTAATCAATAGATATGGAAAATATGAATAGGGTTACCAGATGAAAACTTATCCACCCCGGGCAAGTCTTCCGAAAAATCCGGACAAAATCCGGACGTCACAATTTTTTAGCGATATAAGGGCAAACTAATAGTATATTGTTTTATTATGAGTAAAAATGATACTTTTTGTGGCGAGGCTGTGGAGTGGACGTTTGGTATACAAGCGAGGCACAAAAATTCATTTTTACTCTGAATAGAACATGCTATTTTTTTTCAAATACCACAAATAATTTTTTAAACAATTTCAAACGTTCCAAATAATACATAAAAGATTTAAAAGTAATACCTTGTAAGTAATTATACTTTTATCGAGAAACTATGGTACTAGGTTCATTTAAATATCCTTCACTTTTACATAAGGGTTTTTTTCATTTTCAAAAACATATAACAACAATATAAACTCACCGTCCACCTCGGCCAATCTTTTTTTCGCTTGTAGTACAACATTTTTCTTTACTGGTTCCTAAGAGAAAAATATGGTATAAAAAAAGTTGAGCATTTTTTTAACAATTTACATTATGTCGTCTAAATACTTCAGTTTTCATTGAATCGCTCGATTCATTTAGCACATTATGGGAGTATTCCATATCAACAGTAGTTCCTTGACTTGGTACTAAATCAATTTCGTTATCATTTGCTACAGTTACTCTCTGATTATATATATTGTCATGGGAAATATTAGAACTGGTCACAATGTTTTCCTGAGATCTGTTTTGGAACGAATCAGTTATCTGGCCTACATTGAATCTATTTTGTATTTCTAAAAATAATATTATAATACACTTAGAAAGAAAAAAACGCAAAGGATTTTTTTTGGCAAATTTATATTTTTATATACCTATTTTTTTATTTCTAGATCAATTTTCTTGAATTTTTTAGTAAATTGTATATAAATATACCAACAATTCGTAAACTCAATTTATAATAAACTTTAGTGTTTGGCTTATTATACAGGGTTTATCGAGGTTTATCGGGTTGTTTTTACCCCAATTTTAAAACACCCCGTGCAATAATTTCGTCAGCAAATTTGCCTAAATTATTAATTTCCGGTTAGAACCATGTCTTCTGAGCATTTTGGGTTTTGTCTCACGTCGAGATATGCCTTGGCTAATGTTTACGAGCGAAGTGAACTTGCCACCAACAATTTGCATTTTTTCAAATATCATTACTTTTTGATATTATTTTTTAATATAACGATGTGTCTTTAGTGGCTATTGTATTATATACTAAATTAAAAAATAACGTTTAAAACCAAGAGAAGTTCATTTAACGAAGCTGGTGCTACTTCGCAACCTCTAAACCTCCTGCCAAGCATGTCCCAAACGTATTCTATAGAGTTTAGAACTGACGAACATGTTGGCCAGTTCATAGTAGTATGCAAAAGTCACCAAAGACACCTCGTCATGTTGCAAAATATCATCAATAAGTAATGATAATTGGAAAAATTGCAAAATGATAGTGAGAAGTTCATTACACTCTTAAAAATTAACCCGTACATGAGCCAAAAAACAAACTAGCATAAGCGCGATAATAATGATTTAAGAAAATTTGCTAACAAAATTATAAATAAACAATAAATAAATAACGCTTTATTGTGCAAAAAGCCAAAATAGCTTCAACGACAAAGCATTTACACAACAAACAAAAGCACAAAAAACATACAAATAATAAAAAATACACAATACAAATCATACAATTCAAAAAAAAATGAATTATTGCACTACTTACTTTAAAATTATGGTAAAAAACAACCCTTCGATTAATCCTGTATAATAATAAGTCAAATACTAAAATGTATAAAAAAAAGTTGAGAAAAAACTCAAAATTTAAGTGAGGATGCAGTCAATAATCACCACGACGTAGGCTAATAAAACTACTTTACTACTAGTTTGAATGAGTCAATAAACAAAGCAACATCCTTTGCACAATAAACCTTTAAATACTAAGATCATAGGACATTGGATTAACAAGGAAATTTCATTTATCATAAGTTTTTTCCTTGTGAATCCAATGTTCTATGATGTTAGTATTTAAGGCCTTATTGTGCAGAGGATGTTGTTTTGTGAATTGATTCATTCAAACTGTCCTGATGATGGGAATAAAATTCTCGGAAGTTTGACAAATTTGAAAAGTCGTTTTATTAGCCTACGTGGTGATTATTGACTGCATCCTCACTTAAATTTTGAGTTTTTTCTTAGTCAGTCACGACTAAACCTGCTGTTTTTTTAAAAAAAAATTATATATTTTTATACAGTTTGCTAAAAAAATCATGAAAATAGCGCTAAAAAAATATATATAAGACTTAAATTCGACGAAAAAAAATTCCGTTGCGATTTTTGCATCAAAGTGTATACAGGGTCCGGCAATAGTGCGTCCGGCATCTGTAGCTTCTAGAATAAAAAATTGGGAATTTTGTTTAAGTGCTAACCTAAAGTATGTACTAGGATGTATTTCAGGAAAATATTTGAACTTCTACACGGTGGCTCAAAAAAGTGTGAGTGGATCGGGATGAATTTTTTTAAATGGAACACCCTGTATATTATTACATATTTAGCTTTCATTCAGATCACTATACTTAATCCTAAGATATGAGTAGATATGTTTTGATAGTTTCAGAGATAAATAAATAAAAAATATATATTTTTCAGCCTTTCTTAAAAAAATTATTAAAAATACAAGAACTGTCCTGATATAAAAACTATGTATATTATGTACTTATGTTAGATGGTCTGCACTTACTTTGCTATAAATATCGTAATCTTAAATCATACAGGATGTTCAAAATTCTACGCCAAACTTTCTAAAATATAAAATAAATTTTGTTTGTTTTTTTAAACACCCTATATATTATTTTTTTAGTAAGAAGATTTTTTTAGTTGAAGAATTAAAAAGGAACATTTATTGTATTTAGAGTATTTCCAAATTTTTAAAGGTTTCGCAGATATTCGCGGTTTTATATCTCATATGGCATTTTCCACAGTAAATTTTTATCAAAGCCACCCAGTGATTTTTCTCTCGTATTTTACCGTTGAAAGAGCCATATGAAATAATATCGCGAGTATCTGCGAAGCCGTTAAAAATTTTGAAATACTCTAAATTCAAAAAATGTTCATTTTTTTAATTCTCCATCTGTTAAAAGGATAATATAAAGGGTGTTCCATTTAAATTACAAAGAAAAATTATTTTATATTTTAGAAAGGTTGGCGTAGAATTTTGAACACCCTGTATGATTTAAGATTACGATATTTATAGGAAAGTAAGTACAGACCATCTAAAGTAAACACCTAATATAGTGTTGATTTCAGGAGAGTTCTTGTATTTTTAATATTTTTTTAAAAAAGGCTGAAACAAATATTTTTTGTTATTTATTTATTAATATCTCTGAAACTATCAAAACTTATTTAAAAATATCTTAAGATTATGTAAAGTGATCAGAAAGGAAGCCAAACATGTAATAATATACAGGGTGTTCCATTTAAAAAAAATCGTCTTGATCCACTCACACTTTTTTGAGTCACCCTGTAGAGGTTAAATTATTTTCCTGAAATACATCCTATACATAATTTAGGTTTTCTTTGCAACAAAATTCGCAAGTTTTTTATTTTAGGAGCTACAGACGCCCGACGAACTATTGCCTAAACCTGTTCGGTGTTGAGATTTGAACACCGGTGTTAAAGTCAACGCCACGAATGTTTGGGAGTGATTCATCGCTTGATGAAGTTAGAATCGACACGCGCGCTATCATTTTTACATTGAAAACGTAAATTTTTACCGCAGACGTAAGTTTTTAAAGGCCCGGTCTAATCATCTGCCTGCGCTCCTCCTACTTATTCTAAAATGTTAACGTGATTGACAAAGGACGATACTATATCGCGTTTCTTTGATTGATTCGTTTTTGTGCGTCAGTCCATTGGTGTGCTTGCAGTGCGACCAATGGAGCATTCCATTTTATATTTGTAATCAAATATATGTTTTGAGAAGACTTTGACAGTTAAAACAACAAATTACAACAGATTATATATTGATTATTATATGACTTGAAACACCACGGCACTGGAATTAAGTTTTATGTAACCTTGAACAGATTAGTTCACATGGTAGCGACCGATGAATCACTCCCAAACATTCGTGGCGTTTACTATAGGTGTTGATGACCACCGGTGTTTCAGTCGGTGTACCGGTGTCAACTAGAGATGAGTGATATCGTGATTTTTTAATCACACTGTTATTTGTTACTGTGATTTTTTAATATCAGTGATTTTTAAACGTGATGTGATCACAGTTTCAACAAAAATAACAAGTCTTGTCGCTCCGTCCCCGTTGCCCCGTTCCCAATTAAGGCGTAATACGCGTGTGTAATATACGTGTTTATTTATACTTTTTTTTAGATTTGAGACGAACAAGTTTAGGTTTGATTCATCTATCCAGTATTCAGTCAAGTTGCATTTATTATCGGCTACATGCCGTGTTCAACAAGGTCGCGGTTTTTTTTGTTTATTTAAGAATAATTGTTTTTCTAACCTCAAAAAATAAATAATTTTATTGCATTGATCTCAAATATCAAAGATTTAGCCGAGTATTCGTACAATCCGTACTTAAAACGTTAAATCATTAATTATTGTAGTATATATTAGTATCAAATTTACATCAATAAGTTCAAGATTGACAACATACTTAAAATGTACCATCACCGCTTACAGTTTTAAAAAAAGCGATATTAAACGAAAGCGAGGCGGCCGGCAATGGTAATCGGTATCGGTATTTCCATTTTGTTTATGTTATATTAAATACTTAACGGATAAACAAGTCTGTCGAATTTTTGCTCGTTTGCATAGTGTGAAAATCACATATCAACTCACGCTTTCTTCGCAGAAAAAGTAACGATCGTGATATGTGATTTTTAAATATCAGTGAAAAAATCACAGTTCGTGAAATATCGCTCATCTCTAGTGTCAACACTGACACCGGTGTTCATCTACAACATCGGTGTTTATATCAACACCGGTGTTTATCTCGATACCGGTGTTTATCTCAACACCGATGTTTATTTCAACACCGGTATCGCGATGAACACCGGTGTCGATGTCGATGATGCCGATTTTTTTAATGTAATATTTCTTAGTGTATTTTACAGCTACGAATTTTTGTTTCTTTATGTTTTGTTTTGTTTTCTATTTGTTTTTGATCAAACAATTTTTTACTTTATAGTTGTTTATCTGACGCTTCCACTTTATTTTAGTAATTAGTCTGTCATTAGTCTGGCAAAAAAAATATATTTAAATTTGAAAGCTTTAAGTTAAAGTCGGTGCGCTTTAATAAACGATAAAAACAAGCACCGATACGACATTGTTATTATCAGGTTTATTTTCAACTTATTAATTAACATTATTTCTTCTTTAACCCGTTTACCAAACACCGGTGTCGAGATGAACACCAGTGTCCAGGACCAACACCGATGTCGAGATGAACACCGGTGTCGGTGTCAACACCGGTGTCGGTATCAACACCGGTGTCGGTGTTAACACTGGTGTCGGCGTTGACACCGGAACTCCGGATAGTCTATATTTGGCCACCGGTGTCAGCCCAACACCGGTGTTCCGGTGTTTGGAACAGGCCTAACTATTGCCGGACCCTGTATATTTAATAAAATTGTCTTTGTACTTTCTGAGTGAACTTCGTCTTCAGTACTAATTTCACAGATTTCTTGTACTTGGAGTTCCTAAAAATTGAATTATGTTGTTTGTATATGTATATCAATAAATTACTTTTTATCATTTACCGATGAATAATGAACATCTCTATTTTCTATAATTCTAGAAGTGTCCAAAACTGAGGGGAGTAATGTTTCGCCCTTTTTAATATTTTCGTCGACTAGTTTGTCATTGTTTTGGTTTTGATTTTTATTTTGTTGGTTTATAGGGTCTGCAGATGATTCTTTAACAATCTTCTTAGAATTCTCTTCAAATATATCATGATTTTTGCTACTTAAAAAAATATAAATAGCCTTGTTGCATATATATTAATTAATACAAATACTACATTTTATTAGATAATATATCGGCAGACTGAATTTTTTGGCTTAGACTTTCTTGGGTCTGAACTTCTGAATCTTTTTGAACTGATTTTTTTGTATTTTTTAACATTTCTAAAAGAGATATTAGTCTTTAAAATATACAAGGTGCTACAAATTCGAGGTACGAGCATTGGTATCTCGGAAACCGTAATAGATACGAAGTACGAAGATAGTTGAATTGGGGCAAAGTTGCGTCTTGGGATGTTTGCCAACATGCTATCAAAAAAGTTTAAAAAAATATCAAGGATTTCTGAGTTTTTTGAGAAAACGGTTACTTTTTAAAAAATCAAAAAAATAATTGGACATTCTAATAGCCACTTTATTAGGGCTATCTGATTAAATTCAATTAAATTAGCTGATATAATTTGTGAGATACAGTGGCCAACTTGTCCGGCTCTGTTTTTTTAATATTAAATCTATTCATTGTTACAATATTGATAGGCCTTCAAACTTAACAATGACGTGGGGTAAAACATTGAATACTTAAAATCAAATTCAATATAAATTAAAAATAATATAAATAAATAATACAAATATGATATAAACAATTAAATCATTTTCCCGGAAAATGGATTGGAAATGGTAGAGTAGTATAATGGCCAGCGAGGTTCCTGGACCTGTCGCCAAGGGGGGGGGGGGGAATTATTTGACGTCATTTGTAAGTGAAATCAATATTTTTCAACATTTACAATAAAGAGTACAAAATGCATTCGGAAGTATAAGAAGATATGTTCAAAGAGCTATAAATAAAATTGAACGAATAATAAATGTGTGCAATATAGGAAGGGTGGTAACCATTTCAAACATGTAGAGCATTAGAAACTAGTTTGTAGAAGTTGATTTATTTATAATAACTACGATTAATATTATGCTCAGATTTCAAATTCACAACAGAAAAGTTAAAAACAATGTCATTAAATTGCTGACCTGGATATTATTTATTTGAATCTTTCAATTGGCCCGATTTCCTTATTCAATATTAATTAGCATTAATTTAATTCAATATTGTTGGGATAAATATAATCAGATTAAATAATTAAAAAAAACAGAATCGGACTTGAAATTATTTTAAATAATTAAATAGTTTTGTTGTTTGTGTTAAGGTACCCAAAACAAAACAAAAAAGTATAAAGTGTGACATATCATTGTACTCAGGAAACCGAGTTCTAAAGTATCGACAGAGGTATTGATTTTCAAAAAAAATCTGTTTTTTTCCAAAAAACTTTGCAATCCTTGAAATTTTTAAAACTTTTTTGATGTCATCTTTGTGAACATCTCAAAGCGCAACTTTGTTCTAATTTAACCATATTCGTATCTATTATGGTTATCGAGACACCAATGCTCGTACTCCGAATTTGTAGCACTCTGTATATTAATATAAACGAATGTATTATTTACCTTTAGTACCGGTATCATGCACTTGAGCTTTGGTAGATATTATTATATGACTAAACGAAGGCCGTTTCTAAAACAAAAATTGAATATTCTAAAATTATTCTACTATTTTCGAAAACTAAAACTGTCTATACCATTACTATATTTGGTGATTTAAAACTTTCAGTCGGATAAACTTTCTTCGACCTTTGTGATGGTAATGAAGAAGCGATTTGAATTTTATCCATATCTTTTATAGCAGATTTTATACGTGTAATATTTACATTTTTATTAACACCCCTACAACGAAATATATATTATAATTTGCTAATATTCAAACTACTTACGCTTACTTTGATTTAGTTTCATACTTTCTTTTCGATTTAATAGTTCTTTTAATTTTACCTAAAAAATATGGTATTAATATCATAATATTTCAATGAAACACTTAACAAACCAGTAGATTCGTTTGCCTTTAATTTTAAATCATCTTCCTCTTTGTCCCTAAAATATTAATTATTTTACAAATAGTCGATTTTATTTCTTTATTGTAATGTAGTTGTTGAAAAAAATAGTTATTTTATTACAAGAAAGATAGTTTCATTTGAATAAATACTGTTTATATTAAATTTTATGTGTTAAGTTTTCAAATTTCTTCCTTACGTAATTATACAATAATATTGACATTCTTGAAAAATATTTTTCTAAAAAAATATGTGCGCTGTTGACTTTTTTCTCTTGTTAGTAAAATCGTGTAGACCGTTAAATGCCGATAAAAAATAGTCTCTTGATATTAAAAGCTTTGTTCCAACGCAGAAATTAGGACCGTTCTAGAACGGTTATTGGTATCGCCGGGATTGAATTTGTGCGCATGTGTCGACTTGGACAGTTCTGGGGTGCAACTTTGTTCATGTTTCAAAGCAATAGTAAAGTAATTTGTAACTTGAGGCACTATGTTCAGTAGCAACATCGATTCGTAGCGATATTCTGATTTCTCGCTTTGTGGCGAGGCGACAGTCTAGACACGTGTGCAAGAGTGTGATAGTGATACCATATTTTGCAGCATTTGAGCGACAATAGTTTTGCAATGAACATAGTACCGATCTGGTTTGGACATCGCTTCTAAACGATCGGTTGCTAACTTGAACAAAGTTGCACCCCTGTTACGATACCGAAATTAAATGCAGTTGGAACTGTTTGGGAATCGATTTTAGAATTCGCCCTGGCCGCTGTGGCGCCTTACGCCATCCTTACGCTGGAATCCAATTCATAACCTTATTTTTTGTTATTGTTATTGGTTAGATCTAAAGGTACATTCAGGTTGAGAGCGTCGCGTTTGCGTCGCGTCCGCCCCATTGAACTCGAACCCCGACGCTCAGCGGATGCTAGCGCAACACCAAACGCGACGCTGTCTGCCTGAACGGTCTAATTTAAGTTGAGTGAATTGATTCCATTTCGACACGCGACGCGACGCTCGACGCTCTCAGCCTGAATGTACCTTAAGGGTTAGATTTATTAGAAGTTTTTTATACGATTTTTATTATCTATGGGGTTCAAAATGAGTAATATACCGCATGATCCAAAAAAACGACGTTAGCGATGGCTATGAAATGAAGATCGCTGTCATTTTGTATGTAAAATTATATGGAGAATGACCATCAATTCCAAGCCGGCTCAAGTTTCGTTCAGCCGAAATCAGTTACATAGAATATCGGTTTATAGGATGATTCTATACAAGAAAACTAGCACTAGGTACATAATTTGATTTTTGCCGCGGAAATTCGTTTTTTTAGAAAACTCGAATTTTTAATTAGCCGACCATACCAATAGGTATGGTAGGCTATTAGGATCGGCAAAAAAAAAGTTTTTTTAATTTCACTCAAAATTAGTTACTTGGGTCATAAATGACCTAAATACAAAATATTTTCATGGTGTCTGTCTGTCCGTCTGTAACACGATAACTCAAAAACCGCTGAACCGATTTTAACCAAATTTGGCACAAAAATACTGTGGCACCCGAGAAGCTGGCTATTAGCTTTTGGTGGGGGTAGGGGGTTGGTAAGGGGGTATGGGAGGGGGTTAAAAATTTTAAAAAATCGTAACTCCAAAATTACAGTAGCTAGCGAAACGCGGTTGTCAAATTAAGATTAGGAATAATATTTGCAACAAAATTTGTAAAAACATCAAAATCAGTCAAAGTCGCAGTTTTAGAGATATTAACATATTTTAGTATGGGCGGATGGGCGACTATACGTGCCATCCGGCTCCAATTTTTTTTCTATTATTAACTAAAATTTAAAACCTTACGGTGTTTTTAATAGTTTTTTTCATTATAGAATGACGTAAAAATATTTAATATAACGATGTGAACTAATTTTTATTCGAAAATATATTTTTATCACAATAATTTTCATTGATTTTTCCGGGTTTAGAAGTGCTGAAATGTGATAGGAAGATAAAATACGTATTTTTGTTTGATTAATAATTTGGTATAATTTCTCTATATAATTTTTTCCGCGGAAATTTATCATAAGGGCGGTATAATGGAAAATCTTTAATATTTCGAAGTTTTCCATAGTATTCTCAACTTTTTTACATACTTTCGGTTTGGTTTTAGTTGGTTTGGTTTGATTTGGTTGTTTTTATTGGGTTTGGTTGTAGTGGGTTTAGTTGGTTTGGTTTGGTTTGATTTAGTTGTTATTTTTATGCTTTATTGACATTTTTTTTTAAATTTTCGCATTTATTGACCATAGCGATATTAAGTTGATAAGAATAGATATTATTCATTGATCTGTGTCAAAGGTCGGGAAGAAGATCACTGCATAGTGGTGAAACAACGCATTTCCGCGGATTTTCATTTTTGTATCGGTACTTAAAAATAAGTCTACAATATAAAATAATATTTATTTTTTATATAACTCGTTTCGTTACTTCTAAACCGTATTCAAAAAATGGCAACAGCGCATTTCCGCGGAATTTCATTTTCGTATTAGTTGTTACAAAGACGTGTAAAATATGAAATAACATTAATTTTTCATGTATGTCATTTCGTTACTTTTAAACTGCATTCAAAAAATGGTGACGCATTTCCGCGGCAAAATTTTTTCAGTAATATACACCCTGAGGTACCTAAATGACAAAAAATATTTTTTTTTCTTTTTTAACAGATTTCGGCTAAACGAAACTTGACCCTCCTAGCCTACTGGACGCTGTTTTTTTCGATCGTACGGTATTTACGTGAACTATACACTATAAGACAATTAATAAATTGGTGGGGAGATTTAGTTATAGCTCACTTCGGGTTTCTCTTATTACCGATTCTGAACCGTCCTAGAACCGTGATGCGTATGCGCAGAAGGAAATATGAATACATTATTTCATTTGCGCATGCGCTGCAGAGTTCTAGGACGGTTCAGAATCGGTAATAACAAGAACCCGAACAAAGCTTATATTTGTACGTTTGAATCATTCGTTCAAATCATTTTCGCTGGTATCCAACAGAGACTCGATATCACTGTCACCTTCGTCACTCATTATACTTCAAAAATAGAGAAATATTTAAAATAAATGTACGATAAACATTAAATAAAACTTTAAGCTTCAAAACGTCGTCAAAACAACAGATAATTAAACTATCAAAATTAAAAAGATAAATGGCTAAAGGAATTTAAAGTCCAGAAAAAATCAATAATCTGCTGACACACTTTTATGCGCAGGTCAGTCCCTATGATTCTTGCTTTCAGGCTGGTATCGAAATTACGGTCCCGGAATCGATTCATTATCGGTGACAATTCTTGTTGGAACGCAAAAGTTATCGTTCACTAAACGATTCTCTCGTGGCTGGAACGCCTTTTCTCCGCTGCGCAGAAGCGTTATCGTACCGAGTACGGTTCTCTCCGTCGCGCGTCGTTGAAACGAAACTTTTGTCGATTTCGGTCTCCTTCATGAGATAAACGCAAAGTCCAGGGAAAAAACTTGATAAGCGCCAATTTCTTAATTTTAGGACTTTACAATATTATAGTTGGTCTAACTGGTCCCTACAAAATGTACAAACTCTGCAGGCCAATAAGTTGTTAAATCCTATGATATATACCTTGTAAAAATATAAGGTTTGATCCAACCAGTATTTCAGGATCGTTTCGAAATCGTACTCGAATCGGTTTTCTTGCACTTTGTTAGCATGCGCGGACTTTCGTGACGGTGCAAAAAGTATCAACGTTGGAATGCTTTGTGGATTGTTTTCGGGACTGTCAAAAGTGTATCGATCGGTTTTTTGTTTTTGTTTAGAATTTCATAAAATAACCCTATTATTTTTGTTTGCAATTTGCAATAATAATAATTATTATTCTTGAAATGGAGAATCAGAATCCAGTAATTGTTGGTAAGTGTTGTATCAACTGTATATTCACTATAACTCACTTACCTATCCTCTCTTTTATGATCCTGTTATGCGTAGTTTACTCGTACTGTTATTTCATTACAGTGGTAGAATCTTTGAACATTATTTTATAAATAAAAAAAATAATTAAAGTTTCCGAACGATTTACTCCACACAAACTCACAAGCAAAAGTATAACGCACACGTATTCGAATTTGTAAAAAATAACCAAGACAGAAGCATCAGCCGGACGCCGGACCAGAATCAGCTCTTAAAAATCGATAATCACTGCCAATATGCTTTAATGCGCAAGTCAACCCAAACAGTTCTCAATTTGGACCATGTATCGAAATTACCGTCCTGAAATCGTAACTAAACGATCCCAAGGTAGTTTGGTACGCAAATAGGATCGTCCGATAACCGTCAAATCTCGGTTGGAACACATCTGAATTACTGCGCACGAGCGTGATCGTTCGGTGACTGTTCTGCGGCGGGTTGGAACAAACCTATAGAAAACACGGAAAGAACCTGACAACTGACAACCACCAGCCGTTCAGTGCTCTCTCGTGCTCTCCTAGAAAATTAGTGAAATGGTGCTTATCATGTTTTCCCCGTGGACCCTTCAATTCTAAAATAGCAACTTTTAAAAACTTTTATTGTCATTAACTGGTCAAAGAATTAAATAAATACTCATTGATTCCTCACCAAAAAATATGAAAAAAGTTCCTATAAACATGGGCGCGGAAATGCATAGTTTTAAAGTTATATGATGTTAGGACTTTTTAAAAATAAGTAAGTAATTATTTTAAATACTATTATTTTTGAGGAATTTGCTGTAGGTAGCACTATACAGTGTTCTAAGTTTGAATAAAACTTAACAATAAATTAGTTTAAATAAATAATTTTATTTTAATAATAATTTTATTTTTAAATAATATATTATTTTATTTTAATTTTATTAATTGTGATTAATAAATCTTTTCGTTTATCTCATCGAATATCAATATACTTTTATCTTTAACTTTTAATCGACATTAAACAGCCTACACAATTTTTACAAGAGGAAAAAAGTCAGTGGTGCGTGGTGCACGTTTTTTTTTAGAAAAACCCCTGGTAAATCTGTCGACACTTTTTTGGCATTAAAAAATGCGATACTTATAATGACTTTTACCCTCAAAATTTCATTCAAATCGCTAAAAGCACTTGGTATAAAATTATAATAAATCGAAAAAAAAATGAAGATTTTAATGCCCTTTAGCTACGAAACAAAGCAGAATCGGACCTATGTTGATATGAAAAATAAATCTTCTTTTTACGTCAGAAATCTCCCCACGAGAGATGGTATATGTTTTTTGAAACACCCTGTATATGGTATCCAAAAATCATGATATTTTAGAGTTCAAAAATATAGCATTTAAATTAACGCAGTATGTGTGATGTGTGTGGCAAAACACAGAATAACTTGATATTATATTGATTTACCTGGACTGCACTTGAGTTTCTTTAAGTTCTGGAAGTTCATCTGAAAAATTAGAAAGCAAATTGTTTTTAATAAAATAGGCATCTACTTTTTATGGTAAAAATAGTACTAAAGCGGCGCGCGGCGGTTATAAAGGATTGGAATTCGTAGATATGAATTTAAGTTGAGTATAAATTCGTACTACCCTTGAACAAGGATATCACAAATTCTTGTTAAGTGTGGTTACACTTTTTGATTTGTTTATTAATCGCCCCCCATACACGCTAGGGATTTTTAAGCGATAGGTCCCGCAGTCCGTATCCGCTGCCCCTAGGAGATGCAAGACCTTGTCGTTGGTGGGGAAGCTCCTAGTCAGGTGCTGGAGGGAAGTTATTATTATTATTATGATTATTTATTGTATTGACTAAGAGTGGGTCCCAGGTGGGGCCCACCACTCCGCGAGAGCCTATTGTGGCTCAGTTTCTACAAGCTCTTTGATAGAAAAGAGCATTAAAGTTTACCCTCAACACCCAGCCGTAACATAGGCCGTTATGTTCGAGGGTGATATATCTCCTAGGTCTGATAGGTCTAGCGTGGGTTTGCCAAACACCTCAAACCTGGTCCTGCCCTCAGTGGGGCAGATACACATAACGTGCTTCATTGTTTCGTCATCTTCCATACAGAGTCGGCATTCGGCGTCTTCCACCAGTCCCATCCTCTGTAGGTGTCATCTCAGCCGGCAGTAGCCCGTGTGTACTGCAGCGAGCGTACACGCTCCATACCTACCAGCCTTTAGGAGTTCTCCTATTCTACGTTTGGATGGTCCTGCTAGGATTTTCTTGGCATGTTCTATTCCGAAACGTCGCACCCCTAACCCATTCACAGAGCCTGTCTCTTGCGAGATTTTTGGCACGCGAAGTGTCGGTTCTGCCCACGAATAGCGAGTCTGCACCAATTTTGGCGAGGGAATCAGCACGTTCATTTCTCTCTAGGCCGACATATCCCGGTATCCATATTAGCGACACTTTGTTCCTATCTCCTAATATATTGAGTAGTTTTTTACAATGAAGAATCGTCATAGGCGTGCTTTTCGTTGCCTAGACGATCCTCTGAGTGTAGGTCTTAGTGGAGCAGAAGTACAGAGATACATCGACTGCTCCACGAAAGACTTGCTCCAGAGGAAGTAAAAGCGGAAACACTCCTCGGAAAAGGGGAGAGTAAAGGACAGTTCGTTAGAAAAATTTGTTTATTAGTAAGCCACGGCTGACAATTAGTCTCCGTTGGATTAACGCAGCCAGTGTTTACAAAAATTACTATTCTATTTTGTAGATTTTCTTACAGTGGCGAAATACTCATTGGACTTTTTAGGTATTTTATTTAATACATAGAATGTACCGTATGATCGAGAAAAAATGGCGTCAGCGTTGGCTATGAAATGAAGATCGCTGTCATTTTATATGTAAATTTATATGGGAAATGTCATCGATTGTCATTTCCCAGCCAACTGGACGCCGTTTTTTTTCGATCATAAGGTATTTATCATTTCAAGTAGAAATCTTTTCAATAGAACCTTAACTTGAAATATTCAAATTTGTAAACTCTGAACATTATAAAAGTTATAGTAAAATATCCTTAGCTTAAGCTCCCTTATAAAACATTAACAGGAATTTCTATATATTTTACGACATTTCCCATCATAGAAACGTTTCTATACATTCAGTTACTAACCTAATGTTTCCTGCTCGCTGGATTCACTCTTTGCGGAACTCTTTATAAATTTCCTTGAAAAAACAAATTATATTTGGAACCTGGTTAATTGTATGTTATAAAAATATCTTTGCTACTTACTCCAGCTGAATTCTTTCAAGCTTTATTACTAATTCAGGGAGCACTAAAAAATCGGAATAAATATTATGATTTAGTTTAATAAGAATAAATTAAACAAACCGGTGATCTTTTTCGGCTCATTGTGCTGAAAGTATCTGCAAGAGAAAAAATAATTAAACAAATATCATAAATTAAATTATATACATACTTTGACATGATTTCTGACGATTCATTGCTTTCTTTAGGAGGTTCTAAAAAAAATTATAAATAAAAATGTAATTTACTTGAAGGGGAAAGCTTTACTTACCAGTAACTTCATTTTCTTTTTGTTTATTATCTTTGGTGGTTATATCCCTATAAATTCATAGATAAAAATTAATTATCTTTGACGCTTTAATATAATTATTTGAGATATACCTCAGTATGACTTTTAATGAGCTGTCATTTTCTTGGTTTGTTTCTAGAATAAATTTATAAGCATAAAATCTAATTGTACCGGGTGGCGCCTCTCATACGACGCAGAGACAGCAAGAAGAACAACAGTATTGAAACGGCTTTTTAGGAGGACATGTAGATTAATTTAAAGTGGGGTTTCCATACGTCTGGATTTACCCGGACATATTCTAAAGTGTCCGGGACGGTCCGGCCCGGATTTTGAAAAACGGGAAACCTGACCACAAAAACAATTTGACTTAGTAAAATATTTTACCACCAGTTATAGTTGAATTAATTTTCTCAGTTACTTTGTTGAATATTTTAGTGTCTAGGATGCTACAGTACAGGGTGGACCGAATTCGAAGCTCATCATTGGGATTTCGGAAACCGTAAGAGATACAGGATCGGTTAAATGGAGGCAAAGTTGCGCAATTTGATGCTCAATAAAATGCTGTATTGCATTTTGAAAAATTCCGAATACTTCGGAATATATTCGAAAAAAATCGGAATGTTCAATTTTGTTTTCTGTTATTTCCTGGTTTTATTTGTAAATATAACTTAAAATGTGAAAAATTCATATTCATGGCCACTTTTTCTGCTCTATAACTCTGTGTGATTAAATATTGACTCTGACGTTTCGGCTTTTGGCGACCATCATCAACTTATTTTTTTTAAATACGGACCTTATTTTTTTTTCAATTTAACTAAATCCTTTCATCACTCTTAAAACACTATACAGGGTGGTCCGAATTGTATTCCGGAAACTTTGGCAGCATATTCTGCACATAAAAATAAGTAAAAATGTTCGTATGGATGTATGTCCAAAAATGCTTAGTTTCGGAGATACAGGGTGTAGAAATTTCATTTTTATTTCGATTTTTTCCAAATAATTTCTGCAGTAACGTCAATATTTGGATAAAAATTGGTATCTGGGAGTTTTTTGACATGAGAAATTTGATTTTGAAGTCAATATGACTCCTACTAGTAGAGGGCACCACCTACATATTTTTTAACTGGTTTGAAGAGTAATAACTTTTCGTCCGTACCTATATAAAACTACTGAGTAATAAAATATACATTTACGACGCTTTTTACGTAAAAAAGGTCTCTTGGTAAAAATCGTTACGAGTAATGGTTCTCTGTTATTGACTAAATAGTTATTAGATTGAGATCATAAATTTGAATTGTTTTTGTACCAAAAGTTCAACAAAAACTGTTTTATCATCATTTTTTTGCAGAACAAATATGATTAATTTAAAAAAATAACAATTTCCCAAATTTATTATTTCAGTGAAATAACTATATCTACTCAACCTGTTTATTTTTCGTTAATAATGGCATGTATTGACTATTTCCATTCTAAATATCTTGAGAACGGTTGCTCGTAGCGATTTTTACAAAGAGATTGTTTTTACGTAAAAAATCACAGAGATGTATATTTTTCCCTCGGTAGTTTTATACAGGTACGGACAAAAAGTTATTACGCTTCAAAACAGTTAAAACACATGTAGGTGGCGACCTCTACCAGTAGGAGTCATATTGACTCCAAAATCAAATTTCTCATGACAAAAAACTCCCAGACACCATTTTCATCTAAATATTGACGTTACTTCAGAAATTATTTGGAAAAAATCGAAATAAAAATGAAATTTCTGCACCCTGTATCTCCGAAACTAAGCATTTTAGGACATACATTTATATGAACTTTTTTACCTATTTTTATCTGAAGAATATGCTGCCGAAGTTTCCGGAATACAATTCGGACCACCCTGTATATAGTCACTTTGATATTTGCCGACGTTTCATACAGAAAATTCCACCACCAGAATATTTTATGCAAAAAAAAATAAAAAATAAAAATGCAATACGGCATTTTATTGAGCATCAAAATGCGCAACTTTGCCTCCATTTAACCAATCCTGTATCTCTTACGGTTTCCGAAATCCCAATGATGAGCATCGAATTCGAGCCACCCTGTACAGTTCTAATTAACCAGCGCATGTTCGAAAGTACCCATTTCTATACTTTGACGCTTAAGTTTTTCGCTTTTGGTGCACTTCTGGAAAGGGAATATTTTTTTGGTTTATATTTTGACACGTCCGGATTTTGTCCGGATTTCTCACTTCACTTGTCCGGAATTTCCTTTATAAAAACCCTAATTTAGAGCAGTTTTTAAAAATATATAGATTTTTATAGGGCCTCCATAAAAAGTTACACATCAAAGTTGTGTTTTTTTATAATAGAACATTTAATATAATATTTTCTATTATATTAATCGATTTTCGGATTCTATAAAAAAAAATAAAGAATAAATTTTAAATTTCAATATACGCTACATAATTTGCCCTGTATAGGCTGACATGCAGTTAAAATATCCATTGTACTTTAAATCAAATTAAAACTTGGTACGAAAAGTTACACAGAGTGAGAGAAAATTAATATTGAACATGATCTCTTTGAAAGCAAGTTACTGTTTTGTAAATGGAACTGTAAATGTAACACCCTGAATATTTTTCCGATATTCAATGGAAAATGCATGTCTCTTTAAAACGTTGCATATCTCTCACACGATGACTTTTCTATGTTTCTACATTCATTTTTATGATATACCGGGTGCGTCCAATACCACCTAGATATTAAGAAGGCCACGGTTGTCCAATACGGGCGAGGTTGCATTTCTTGGTATGTAGGCATTCATCTTTTACTTTGCCTTTACTATGTTCGATCGTATTTCCGAAGCAAACCGGCACCACCGCCGCGGCGCTTTAGGAATTTCGCAAGACCGAGTCCAGTTGTACCGATTCAAAACTCCCATGTGAATTGCACCAATCATATTACCGGTAAGGTGGTAAAATCTAAGGGTGACATGATGGCGACCACATGTTTACGTTATGCTGAGCGCCAGATGATTTTTTTCGTTTGACCGCTCTCATTTGTAATATTCCGACGACAAACGTGTCCATATTTTCGCCTTTCCAAAGGACGAACAACTTTCGAAACAATGGGTACGTGCGATTCCAAGAGACAACTTTCAGCCCACTAAAAACCCCAGGGTTTGCGAGCAGCATTTTTCAAAAGGAAGTATCAAATTTTTTAATACTTATTTTGATGAGAAATCTGTCGATAGGTAATTGGTTAAAGGTAAAACTGTCGATATACCTTTACAACGTCCAACACTTTTAACAGGTTCTGTTCCAACAATTTTTCCAAATTGTCCCTCTTACCTTTCGAAACCCGATAACAACCGAAAAAGTAGAGATTTATTTGAAAAGTTTTTTGGACGTCAAACAGCTTAGAATCCTATACTCATCCCTTGTACAATCTCATTTGACATGTTATGTCAATGTCAGGGGATTTATCAGGGGAAAATATCTATTGAACATGTTGACCATGAATATGTAACTAGACATAAGGCGTTTTATCCTAGTTTATGCTCTAAAACTGTTGGACAAAGATCTTCAAAGTTTTTTGCATCTCGATTATATAACATCTTACCAACCTTTCTAAAGGAAGTTAAAAGTTACTCTGGGTTTAAAAAAGGGGTATGCAAATGGATGGTTGATCGAGGTAGAGATATATTTAATGACCTAGTTAACTTAAAATATACAAAATAAATTTTCATAAGTGCCAGAGAACATTATATATTGTCATAATTAAATTGTATTCCTTTCCACATACAAGTAATTCTATTACTTTGTGGTAATTCTTTTAACGTTTATTTCGATTCTTAAAATTTATATTTAGTCTTAGTTAAATTGTACTTAGATAATGTGTATTAGATATATTACCATATTATGTTGTATTGTACTGTACTATTTTGTATCTGTTTTAATTTCAAGAGAAAATGTTTAATAAACGTTATTATTATTTTTTTTATTTTTTTTTTAAATTTCGCAGTTTACTGGTTATGATACGGCGCAGATCGGCCAGCATGGCAAGATGCTGGGCTATGAGCATAATCCAGAAAGTGCCTGACAATGTTGGTGGCGTCCAGCACAACAGATTTCTGCATTTTATGGTAAGTGTTATACGGTATCGATATTATTTTTAAATTTTCTTTTAATGTTTTAGGTATCAGACCCATCGTGGATAAGATCACGGGTACGATGAAGACCGATTCCATCCGCCACATAGCTTTAACTTCTCTACGGAGCTCAGCATACTTGGTAAGTTTCTCAGTGTATTTCTGTTTTAGGTTGTGGTTGTTCGGTACTGATATATCTATCAAAAACGCTTTTTTCTCTTGCTTTAGAATAACTGTTATATCTGGTCGGTTATGCTCCATGCGTTTGTCCGTGATTATATCTTTGTCCCAATATATTTTTGCTATATCGTTCTCAACCACCGGCACGGGGACATATTTATAATAAGGGTTTTCGTTCACAGGCTTTAGATTATATAGTTTGAGCAATTCAAGGTATACAATAGTTGCCACCCTATTATGCCTTTCAAGGTACTTCGTATGAGCCAGTACAGAGCATCCCGACAATATGTGCTCTACAGTTTCAGTACATTCATTGCAGCGCCTGCAGAGGTCGTTGGACATTTGTTCTCTTAAAATGTACTTCCTGTGATTTTTCGTATTGGTAACATTGTCCTGGATACTTAACATGAAACCCTCTGTCTCTGGATATATTGTACCATTCTTAAGCCAATATAGTGAGTCTGCTCTATTAACTTCTTCTCGTTGGAGGTCATTGTAAAATCTCCCGTGCAATTCTTTCTGTGCCCAATTTTTCAACTCGTCTTTGACATTTTGATATTCTGGTTGTATCGTTGTTGACTTTAAGTTTAAGGGAGTGTAGTTATCGTCAGTGTTTACGATAGCACGGTGTAGGTTTTCAGTATGGTTATGAAAGTAGGTTCTAAGATTTTTTATCTCAGTGGCACATACATTATGTATATTTAAAATACCTCGGCCACCCAAATGCCTAGGAAGCATGAACCGATGTTTTGATGCACGTGGATGATGCATTCTATGTTTCGTTAATTGTACTCGAACATTCCTATTAAGCTCTTCGAGATCAGTTTTAGACCATGCGATAATGCCAAAAGAATATGCAAGTATAGGAATTACATACGAGTTTATAGCCTTCACTAAGTTTTTGGAGTTTAATTTAGTTCTTAAAACGGCCTTCAGTCTTGCATGAAATTGGTTCGTAAGAGTTTGCTTCATCTTTTTGTGTTCCATCTTATTTGTCTGTAGAAATCCCAGATATTTATATGGGTCCCCGTTGGTCCCCATTGCTGAAATAATCATGCCGTCGAGCTCTACTTCAGGTGCATTTACAACTTTGCCTTTATGAACATTCACTATTTGACATTTGGAAAGACCAAATGTCATACCAATATCTTGACTAATACTATGGACAACTTTCAATAGATCTTGTAGCTGAGTGTTGTTAGAGGCATATATTTTCAAGTCGTCCATGTAAAACAAATGGTTTACTGTTTCAGTTACAGTAGATGCTTTTAATTTGTATCCATGTCCTGTTTCTTTTATGGCATTAGATAGAGGATTCAATGCTATACAGAACCATAAGGCACTGAACGAATCGCCCTGGAATATTCCCCTACGTATTTTAATATCTTCTGTCTCGACGGTTCCAGCGGAGGCGCGAATAACTAGCTTGGTGTGCCATTGTGTCATTGCGTGCTTCAAGAAGGTTGAAAGATTTTCATTGATTCCGTAAATTTTAAGCACGTGCATTAACCAGGTATGAGGGCCAGAGTCGAATGCCTTTTGGTATCGATGTATGCCATGTTAAGATTTCTGTTTTTCTTTCTGGAGTGTTCTAGTACTACTGCGTCTATGGCCGCCTGTTCCTTGCATCCCCTTGCTCGCTTCCTGCATCCTTTCTGCTCTGGAGTTAAGATGTTGTTCTCCTCAAGGTAAGTATATATCTTGTTTGAAATAATAGCTGAAAGTATTTTGTATAAGGTTGGTAAGGAGGTAATAGGACGGTACATTGAGGGATCATCATAGTTTTCATTCTTCGGGAGAAGGTAGGTATATCCTCTGGCCATAAATTTTGGCATTGTTTCTGGTTTTTGAAGGATGTTGTTGAAACATGTTGCCATATCATTATTATGTTCTTGTTGGCCCTGGAATATTTCCCTACGTATTTTAATATCTTCTGTCTCGACGGTTCCAGGGGAGGAGCGAATAACTAGCTTGGTGTGCCATTGTGTCATTGCGTGCTTGAAGAAGGTTGAAATATTTTCATTGATTCCGTAAATTTTAAGCACGTGCATTAACCAGGTATGAGGGACCATGGTATGAAGGACCTATAAAAAATTAACAACTTTTTAAAACTTCGATGAGTTTAAACAAATTTTTGATAGTTGGATACTTCCTGAAAAATGGCATAAAATATTCAGTAATTTAAACGAAGTTCTATTATTTAAAATAAAAAGATCTCCAGGTCCTATTATTACTTATTCTATAAATATTGATTCCGAATTAAAACTGCACACATATTTATATGAACATGCTATTTCCTTAAATACAAATAAATTTAAAATACATTTTGTCTTAAATAATATTAATGATTTATCAGAAGTAATAAATGAGATTGAAAAATTAGAAAATCTTGCATCGAGTACCCAACCAACATCAAAAGAGGAAAAAACAAACAGTTCCAATAATATAATTAATCAGATTTGCAGCATTTTAGATAATTTAAAACACGAAGATAATAGTTCATCAGTGTCTTTTTTAGGTGAACAATTAAAATTATTAACTTTATCTAAAAAAAGAAATCGATATTCAGCTGACATCCTAGTATTATGTGCAATATTAAATACAATCAGTCCTCATGCATATAAGTATTTAAGAAATAATGGATTTTTAACATTGCCGCATCCTGATACACTAAAATCTATATGTAATTCGTTTCTTACTGACCCAACTCGAAGAAAGACAATCTTTTTTACTATATGCAAAAAATGTATACAAATATTTAAAAGATCACCAAAAACACATGATTTTACTCATGGATGATATTCATATTAAACCATATATGGATTATAAGGGAGGAAATATTGTTGGAACAACTGCTAATAGTGCCACTTTAGCCAATTCAGCATTTACTTTTATGATTAGCAGTGCACTTTCAGATTTTAAAGAAGTTGTACATATTTCACCAATTTCAAAAATTGATCATAACGTGCTTTTTAATCTTATAAAAAACATAATATAAAATACAAAAGTTGTAGCCATTTCCGGTGAAACAGGAAGTGATCAAAAACAATTGAATACGTCAATAAATCCTAATTTATGTCATATACTAACATACCAAATCTCGTTTTTTTTATCTGAAAAAATAAAAAGTAATAGGGATGAGCCACTGAGACGCACCCGATAGTGTTAATAAATCTTGATGTTATAAAAATTAAGGTGGTTGTATTATGACTGCCGTTCATAGATTTAGGAAGCTGCCGTTAAATCAACACAACTTTCAAATTAGTTCAATTTTTTACAACTAGTTATCAGTTTGTGTTAGTTGGGATGGTAAAAACTCTTAAAAATTTGACGAAAATGAAAACGTCGCTAGGAAATCACACCTTTAAGAGTATTTTCTAGAGATTTGCATTTTCCATTGAATATCGGAATAATATACTGGGTGTTCTATTTAAATAAAGGGTTACAGTTGGAGGGTAGGAATCATTTTTTAAAAATAATTAGTGCTTTACTTTGCTCTTAAAAAAAGGAGCAATTTGCTCTTAAATGTAAACAATTTTCAATATTAATTTTGTCTCACCCTGTATATCCTATAAAGTTATTTTTTAATTTGATTTAACGTACAATGGAACAATGGTTTTAACTACATATCAGGTAAATTACAATTTAGGTGGTTTTTATTCAAATTTTAAATGAATTCTTCATTTTTGGAAAACGTTAAATATGTCAAAAACCTTACCTTTTCGTCATGTGCTTCTCTAAAAAAACTCATCTTTATTTATTTTCGTAGATTAATATATACCGGGTGCGTGTTAAAAGTGGCTCACCCATATAATTTTTTTTATTTGTTTCAGTTAAAAAAAGAGATTTGGTGTGTTAGTATATGACATAAATTAGGACTGATTGACGTATTCAATTGTTTTCGGTCAATTCCTGTTTCACCGGAAATGACTACAACTTTTGATTTTTAAATGGCACCTTCTATTTTTTTTTCTTCATTCGATAAAAAATGACACTCGAATAGAATGACATATCATATGTCAACTTTTGACATTTTCGCATATGGTTTATTTGAAATTATAACTTGCGGTTCGTAACGAAAATTTGACTCGAAATGCCTTGACTCGAAGTGTATGGTATCAAATTATTCGTAAAAAAATGCTTTTTCTAAATATGCTAATGAGCCACCCTCATTCCATTTGAAAAAATTGAGATATGATTAAAAGTACGATTTGGGTTTTTTTTAACCAGCCAAGACAAGACATTAAAAAATTAGACGATCAAATCTATTTTTCCAATGCTCCTTGATTAAGAATAAGTGTTTTTGACAAAGCCATGGCACTCTAGATTGAAATTTAAAATACTATTTTTTATTAAGCAAGAATGTCAAAAGTTGACATATGATACGTCATTCAATTCAGAATACCATTTTCTATCGAATAAAGTAAAAATATACCGGTGGTGCCATTTAAAAATCAAAAGTTGTAGTCATTTCCGGTGAAACAGGAAGTGACCAAAAACAAGGGAATACGTCAATAATTTATGTCATATACTAACATACCAAATCTCGTTTTTTTATCTGAAAAAAATAAACAAGTTATAGGGGTGACCCACTTTTGAGACGCACCCAGTATAGAGTGTTTTATTACAAAAAACAATTTTGATGTGTAACTTTTTTTCCTCTAAAACTATATTTTTAAAAAAATATATATTTTTTAAATATGCTTCAAAAATTTCATTTCATAGAAACCCTTAGTCGTTCTCCTTCTCCTTGGACCCTCCGCATCGTATGATATGCACCTCCTGTACTTGTCTCACCATGTAATTGTATTTGTTCTTGGAAAATATCACTGGCGTTTTGAGTTTTTCTACCTTTCTTTTGTCTTAAATTACGTTTAATTTTAGCCTTCTTAATCTTTCCTTTAAAATTTTGGTTTGATATTTCCCTAAAACAATTATCTAATAGAAAATATTAAATTTGAATTTTATTACATACTCTAATTCCATTTCACTAGGCTGTTTATGATAAGGTACAGCAGTAATGTCCAGTTGTCTAAAAAATATATGTAATAATAACGCTTATTTTCGTTTATGTTACATTCTGAGAACAATATTATATTGAATTTTTTTGTTACATACTCTGTTGTGAAAATTTCAATAGCTAGTTTCTTATCAGGTACAGCGGTACGTTCTAGTTCTCTAAAAAAATAAAGTTAAAACTTATTATCGTTTGACACTTCTCTAGAACAATTATCTAATAATATGAGGACTATCTATTATTACATACTTTGAGTCTATTTCAGTAGCTATGTTCTTATCAGGTACAGTGGTACTTTTCAGTTGTCTAAAAAATAAAGATAAAGCTTATTATCGTTTGTTACTTCCTTAGAACCATTATTTAATACTATCATTATCTATTATTACATACTTTGAGTTTATTTCAGTAGCTAGTATCTTATCAGGTCCAGCGGTACTTTCCAGTTGTCTAAAAAAATAAAGTTAACAATTATTATCGTATTATTTTCTTACAACAATTATCTAAAGGACGGTCCACACTTGCTATATAAAGGACGGTCCACACTTGCTATATAACACTGCTATACAGGGTGCTACAAATTCGAGGTACGAGCATTGGTATCTCGGAAACCGTAATAGATACGAATATGGTTAAATTAGGGCAAAGTTGCGCTTTGGGATGTTCACCACGATGCCATCAAAAAAGTTTTAAAAATTCCAAGGATTGCTGAGTTTTTTGGAACAAACTGCTTTTTTTGAAAATCAATTTTATTTTTTCTTGTAGTTACTTTTTAGAAAATCAAAAAAATAATTGGACACTCTCATAGCTACTTTATTAGGGTTATCCGATAGTATTTTTAGATTTTCAAATTAGCTGATAATTTGTGAGATACAGAAGCCAACTTAATTTCTTTAAATACGGACCTGCATTTTTTATTTCAGGTTTTGAAAGAACTCGGTCTCCTGAATACAATGATATACCACACTTTAATATTTTTTTTGTTTTGGGTACCTTAACAACAACAAAACTATTTAATTATTATTTAAAATAATTTCAAGTCCGACTCTGGTTTCTTAAATTATTTAATCAGATTATATTTATCGCAACAATATTGATCAGCGCTAATTAACATTGGATAAGGAAAATCGAGCCAATTGGAAGTTTCAAATAAATAATATCCAGGTCAGAAATTTAAAGATATTATTTTTAACATTTTTATTGTGAATTTGAAATCTCAGTGTGCGATCTAATAATATGCATAATATTAACCGTAGTTATTATAAATAAATCAACTTCTACAAACTAGTTTCTAATGTTATACATGTTCGAAAGGGTTACCACCCTCCCTATTGAACAAATTTATTTTTCGTTCAATTTTATTTATAGGTGTTTGAACTTTCTTCTTATACTTCCGAATGCATTTTGTACTTTTTATTGTAAATGTTGAGATGAATTGATTTCACCTTTACAAATGACGTCAAGTAATGTAGCCCCTTGGCGCGTTGGCGTTAGGTCCAGGAACCTCGCTGGACATTATATTGCTCTACCATTTCCAATCCATCTTCCGGGAAAATGATTTGATTGTTTATATTATATTATTTTTTATTTTATTGCATTTGATTTTCCGTATTCAATGTTTTACCCCACATTGTTAAGTTTGAAAGCTTATCAATATTGTGACAATGAACAGATTAAATATTTAAAAAAAACAGAGCAGGACTTAAAATTAGTTTAAATAAATTATGTTCAAATGTCAAAACAAAAAAAAATATTAGGTGTGGCATACCATTGTATACAGGAGACTGAGTTCTTTCAAAATCTGAAATAAAAAATGCAGGTCCGTATTTAAAAAAATAAAGTTGGCCTCTGTATCTCACAAATTATCAGCTAATTTGAAAATCTAAAAATACTATCGGATAGCCCTAATAAAATGGCTATGAGAATGTGCAATTAGTTTTTTGATTTACTAAAAAGTAACGACAAGAAAAAATAAAATTGATTTTCCAAAAAATCAGTTTTTTCCAAAAAACTCAGCAATCCTTGAAATTTTTAAAACTTTTTTTATAGCATCGTGGTGAACATCCCAAAGCGCAACTGTGCCCCAATTTAACCATCTTCGTATCTATTACGGTTTCCGAGATACCAATGCTCGTACCTCGAATTTGTAGCACCCTGTATAGCAAAGTTATATAACATGTTACATATTTTTTAGTCATATTTAGCAAATTTCGCTGCTATATAACTTGCTAGAAGTTATCCATTTGTAGTCGGTAGAGATCAAAAGATGTTGTGCAACACTGCTATTGTAACATGAAACAATGCGTCCAGACTTGCTAAATTTCTAGTTTAGCCGCTCATATTTTCAGGGACGTGCGCGACAGAATCTTAGTGTGGTGAGCTGATATTGGTTTGTTTATTTACTAGTTAATAATATACCGTATGGTCAATAATAACGTTCGTATGATAGAAAAAAAACTGTGTCCAGTCGGCCTCTCGTCCAGTTGACTTGGACAATGGACATGACGATCGATGACGTTCCCCATATAATTTTCCATATAGAATGACAGCGTATGACATTTTTTTCGAACGTATGGTTCTTATATTAATGGAGTAGAGCCAAGAGCAGACTTGTCAACTAATTAAGTTTTATAGAGATCATACAGTGTTATGGGATATCCGTAGTCCCTCATTTAAAGTGAAATAAAAAAAGCATGATGCATGGTTAAAAATTGCAAAAAGTATGTATTTGGAAAGAGAAAAGTTGAGAAAAAAATGCGTCGTCTAATAGGTCAGTTCCAGAGGGAACAAAAGAAATGCAAATCAGGTACTGTTTAGATAAAGTGGATTAACTCAAAATGGTTTACTTTTAAGTTATTAATGTTTTTAAAGACAAAAACACACCACTAGAAATAGCCGCGGCAGGTATTGAAAAGGTAAGCTAATTGAGTTCAACTATATCTAGATCTTGCTTGTAGGCTATGGCGGACTGAAAACCGTTTTTTTTTCTCGACTTTCTCTTTCTTCAAAAAAAATTACGCACGCCGTTGCTGCGAGCTGAACCTCTTTTTTTGCCAAAACGAGATTCATGTTTACGAAAACTATAATGTGGACGGCTCCCGCTATTTTAACATATGATATGTAGCTTGTTAAATAGCAATGTTATATAACATGTTACTAAATGTGGACCCTCCTTAACACTGCTATATAGCAAAGTTATATAACATGTTACATATTTTTTAGTCATATCTAGCAAATTCCGCTGCTATAAAACTTGCTATATGTTATCCATTTGTAGTCGGTAAAGATCAAAAGATGTTGCTCAACATTGCTATTGTAACATGAAACAATGCGTCCAGACTTGCTAAATTTCTAGTTTAGCCGCTCATATTTTCAGGGACGTGCGCAACAGAATCTTAGTATGGTGAGCTGATATTGGATTTGTTTATTTACTGGTTAATAATACCGTATGATCGAAAAAAAAACTGCGTCCAGTCGGCGTCCCGTCCAGTTGGCTTGGACATGACGATCGATGACATTCCCAATATAATTTTTCATATATAATGACAGCGATCTTCATTTCATAGCCATCGCTGACGCCATTTCTTTTTCGATCGTATGGTTCTTATACATAGAGAAAGATAGTTAAAAGTTTGAACTTAAAAAAAGTAAAACTTTTTATTAGGTACTTTCTCTATGTCCTTATATTGTTAACGGAGTAGAGCCAAGAGCAGACTTGTCAACTAATTAAGTTTTATAGAGATCATACAGTGTTATGGGATATCCGTGGTCCCTCATTTAAAGTGAAATAAAAAAAAAGCATGATGCATGGTTAAAAATTGCAAAAAGTTGTATGTATTTGGAAAAAGAAAAAGTTGAGAAAAAAATGCGTTATCTAATAGGGCAGTTCCAGAGGGAACAAAAGAAATGCAAATCAGGTACTGGTTTAGACGAAGTGGATAATTCAAAATGGTTTGCTTTTAAGTTATTAATGTTTTTAAAAGACAGAAATACACCACGAGAAACAGCCGAGGCAGGTACTGAAAAGGTAAGCTAATTGAGTTCAACTATATATAGATCTATCTTGTAGGCTATGGCGGACTCAAAACCGCTTTTTTTCTCGACTTTCTTTATCTTTCTTCAAAATTAATTACGCACGCCGCTGCTGCTAGCAGAACCTCTTTCTCGCCAAAACGATTCATGATTACGAAAACTATAATGTGGACGTCTCCCGGTTTTTTAGCATGTGATATGTAGCTTGTTAAATAGCAATGTTATATAACATGTTACTAAATGTGGACCCTCCTTAATAATATGATTATCTATTATAGCATACTTCGAGTCTATTTCAGTAGCTAGTTTCTTTTCAGGTACAGTAGTACTTTTCAGTTGTCTAAAAAATAAAGATAAAACTTATTATCGTTTGGCACTTCTTTAGAACCATTATATAATAATATGATTATCTATTATTACATACTCTGAGTTTATGTCAGTAGCTAGTTTTTTATCAGGTATAGCAGTACTTTCCAGTTGTCTAAAAAAATAAAGTTAAACATAATTATCGGTTGTGTGATACTTTTTTAGAACAATTATCTCTTAATATGAATATCTATTATTACATACTCTGAGTCTATTTCAGTAGCTAGATTCTTATCAGGTATAGTAGTACTTTCCAGTTCTCTAAAAAAATAAAGTTAAAACTTATTATCATTTGACACTTCTCTAGAACAATTATCTAATAATATGATGACTATCTATTATTACATACTCTGAGTCTGTTTCAGTAGCTAGTCTCTTATCAGGAACAGTAGTAATTTTCAGTTGACTAAAAAAAAATTAAAACTTATTATCGTTCATTACTTCTTTTTAACAGTTTTCTAACAATATGATTATACAGGGTGGTCCGAACTGTATTCCGGAAACTTCGGCAGTATATTCTGCAGATAAAAATAAGTAAAAAAGTTCGTATAAATGTATGTCCTAAAATGCTTAGTTTTGGAGATACAGAGTGTAGAAGTTTCATTTTTATTTCGATTTTTTCTAAATAATTTCTGCAGTAACGTCAATATTTGGATGAAAATTGGTGTCTGGGAGTTTTTTGACATGAGAAATTTGATTTTGATGTCAATATGGCTCCTACTAGTAGAGGGCGCCACCTACTTATTTTTTAACTGGTTTGAAAGTAATAACTTTTCGTCCGTACCTGTATAAAACTACTGAGTAAAAAAATATACATTTACGACGTTTTTTACGTAAAAAATATCTCTTGGAAAAAATCGCTATGAGTATTGATTTTCGAGATATTTGGAATCGAAATTATCAATACCTGTCGTCATTGACATAAATTAAACATGTTGACTAAATAGTTATTAGACTGAGATCATAAATTTGAAAGTTTTTGTGCCAAAAGTTCAACAGAAACTGTTTTATCATCATTTCTTTGCAGAAAAATTTATGATTAATTTAAAAAAATAAAAAATTTCCCAAATTTATTATTTCAGTGAAAAAACTATCTACTCAACGTGTTTATTTTTCGTCAATAATGACATGTATTGACTATTTCCATTCTCAATATCTGGAGAACGGTTGCTCGTAGCGATTTTTACAAAGAGATATTTTTTACGTAATAAATAACAAACATGTAGATTTTTTCCCTCAGTAGTTTTATACAGGTACGGACAAAAAGTTATTACGTTTCAAAACAGTTAAAACATATGTAGGTGGCGCCCTCTACCAGTAGGAATCATATTGACATCAAAATCAAATTTCTCATGTCAAAAATCTCCCAGACGCCAATTTTCATCCAAATATTGATGTTACTGCAGAAATTATTTAGAAAAAATTGAAATAAAAATGAAACTTCTACACGCTGTATTTCCCAAACTAAGCATTTTAGGACATACATTTATACGAACTTTTTTACTTATTATTATCTGCAGAATATGCTGCCGAAGATTCCGGAATACAGTTCGGACCACCCTGTATATTATTACATACTCTGAGTTTATTTCAGCAGCTAGTTTTTTATCAGGTACAGTAATACTTTCCAGTTGTCTAAAAAATTAAGTTAAAACTTATTATCGTTTGATACTACTCTAGAACATTTATCAAATACACTCAGATGCAAAAAAACGCAACAGAGAAATTTTTGTTCAAATTTGTTCAATTATATTTTTATTATTTTTAGCCCTATTTGCATGATTTTTTTAGCAAACTGTATATAATTATATCAACTTTAATTCGTAAACAGTTTTTTGTAAACTTTAGTAATTGGCATATTATACAGGGTTAATCGAGGGGTTGTGTTTTTATCCAAACCAAACCAAACATTAAAACACCCTGTGCAATATAATATAATATAATTTCGTGTGTAAATTTTCCTAAAATATAATTTTACGGTAAGAACCATGTGTCCTGAGCATTTTGTTTTTATGGATCACGTCAATGCATGCTTTGGTTAATTTTTAAGAAGGAAATGAACTGATCACGATCAATTTGCAATTTTTTCAGTTATCATTACTTTTGATGTAATTTTTTAAAAAGACGAGATGGTTTTGGTAACTATTGTCGTAACGGCATATCACGCTGCATCGGATACTCTATACTAAATAAAAAAAAACGTAAAAGACTAACGATACAGTCCTGGTTTTAATAAACATTAATAACGATAACAGAACTAATGATATTAAGGAAGACATCTGTAATACTGAAGTATACAGACAGAAAAAAAATAGTAAAAAATACCCTAATACTTTGTATTGCCTCCTCTGGCTGCCATAACTGCCTGTATACGTTTGTTCATACTGTCATTGAGGCTGCATATATCATATTGCCTTATGTTTTCCCATTCTTCTTTAAGGACCAAGCGAAATTCATTTAATGAAGCTGGTAACGCTTCGCGACCTCTAACCCTCCTGCCAAACATTTCCCAAACGTCGAAGATGATGTATGTATGAACATGATGTTATATGTAGGAACATGATGTTCATAGTAGTATATAGTTCACAATAATCAGCAAAGCTGCCTTGTCATATTGAAAAAAAGCTTCAAAAATAAATTATAATTGAAAAAATTGGAAATTGTTGGTGGTAAGTTCATTTCGCTCTTAAAAATTAACCAAGGATTGTATTGACATGATCTAAAAAACAAAATGTTCAGGAGACATGGTTCTGACCTAAAATTATATCTGAGGAAAATTTAGACTCGAAATTATTACACAGGGCGTGTCAAAAAAGTTAGGGTAAAAGAACAACCCCTCGATTAACCCTGTACAGGGTGTCCCATTTTAGTTGAAATGATACGGTATCTCCGTTATTAGTAAAGATAGGAGGATGCGGTTTGCACAAACCTGTCCCACTTTTTTGTCAAACGGAAGATGCTGCAAACAAAATTTTTATAGCCTTCTTCGTTTCTGAGCTACAGGGTCTTTTTGAAAATTTTGCAATTTGGGACACCCCCTGTATCTCTGTTATTGTTAACGGTATCGAGAAGGTGAATACTGTTTATTGTAGAACTTTTTACGTAGAATACAGTGGCGTAGACTGGTTTTCTACGAAAAAAATATTTTTGAAAGTATGAACTAAAGTTAGGTTTTTCAAATGGAACACCCTGTATATTTATAAATAATATGATCTGTCTTACTATGAGCTTCTCAAAAATGTATATCACTCTATATTTATTTTCAGTATTTACTGCAATATTTAAAATATATCATTTTCTTATTAGTAGGCCGTGATAAATAACAAAAAAAAAATAAAATGGTAGGTATTTACTAAAATAATCTACATATATTCAAATTTTATTTGGGATTAATATGTTACACTTTTGTGTTACTGTTACCACTGAATCTGTGAATATATTTTTCTTTTTCTCATAACGAAATTTATTTATAACGGGATGCGTTTGCAAATATCTAAAAGCTTGCATTATTAAAGCATTTTTCAGGTGTTCGACATTGTTGTAGTTGCCAGGATATATGCCTTCATATTTCAAAAAAAAACAAAATCAGAAATCGAGAACGAACAAATCCGGGAATCAGTGGGGCCACCATATGGGTTCATTGGTTCCATATGTTGGGATTAATTCATTCATTTGAGAAATAATAATTTAGCAAAATTCTAATATTTTCAAAGTTGTGAGCTGGAACCTCATCTTGCTGAAAGTATATTTCACGTAAATTAGCTAAAGGAATATCTAAAATTTCCTGTGCTGTAGCTTCTAAGATTTACAAATAGCGGTAGAGAGTTAAGTTTCCCTAATATATAAAGAATTTATTAGTGGCTTCCAAAATAAAACAAGAGACAGATAGTAGTATACTTTTAATAATTCCTTAGTTTCATCATTCAATCATGGCCTACTAATAAATATGATCTTTTAATAAAAACTTTTAAATATTGCAGTAAATAGTGAAAATAAATATAGAGTGATATATATTTTTGAGAAGCTTATGGTAAGTCAGATCATATAATTTATAAATATACAGGGTGTTCCATTTAGGAAAACATAACTTTAGTCCATATCTTTAAAAATATACTTTTCGTAGACTGACAGACTACGCCACTATATTCTACGTAAAAAGTTCTACAATAAACAGTTTTCAACTTCTCGATAGCTTTAACAATAACAGAGATACAGGGGGTGTCCCAAATTGCAAAATTTTCAAAAAGACCCTGTAGCTCAGAAACGAAGAGGGCTATGAAAATTTTGTTTACGGCATCTTCCGTTTGACAAAAAAGTGAGACAGGTTTGTGCAAACCGCACCCTTCTATCTTCACTATTAACGGAGATACCGTATGATTTCAACCAAAATGGGACACACTGTACAATATGCCAAATCCTAAAGTTTATAAAAAACTGAGTTTACAAATTAAAGTTGATATAATTATATAGAGCTTGCTAAAAAATTCATGAAAATAGGGTTAAAAATAACAAAAATAAAACACTTTAAACTTTGTAATTGTTGCGTTTTTTGCATCTGAGTGTAATATGACTATCGTTTATTACATACTCTGAGTCTATTTCAGTAGCTAGTATCTTATCAGGTACAGTAGTAATTTCAAGTTGCCTAAAAATAAAATTAATTATCGTTTGTTAATTCCTTAGAAGAGTTATCTGTTATCTAATAATATGATTATCCATTATTACATACTTTGAGTTTGTTGGACTAGCTAGTTTTTCAGGTAGAGCAGGAATCTCCGCTTGACTAAAAATATAGGATAAGAGTATCAGTATATTACGTATCTAGATCCGTTATTTAATAAAAATGTTATACAGGGCGGTCCGAACTGTATTCTGGAAAGTTCGACAGCAGATTCTGCAGATAAAAATAAGTAAAAAAGTTTGTATAAATATATGTCCTAAAATGCTTAGTTTCGGAGATACAGGGTGTAGAAGTTTCATTTTTATTTCGATTTTTTTCAAATAATTTCTGAAGTAACGTCAATATTTGCATGAAAATTGGTTTCTGAGAGTTTTTTGACATGAGAAATTTGATTGATGATTTGACTAAAGTCCCTAGATATATATCTAGGGACTTTAACTCCTACTTGTAGAGGGCGCCATCTACATACTTTTTAACTGGTTTGAAGAGTAGTAACTTTTCGTCCGTACCTGTATAAAAGTACTGAGTAATAAAATAAACATCTACGATATTTTTTACGTAAAAAAGGTCTCTTGGTAAAAAAAATAATGGTTTTCGAGATATTTGGAATCGAAATTATCAATACCTGTCATAATTGACATAAATTAAACATGTTGACTAAATAGTTATTAAACTAAAACCATAAATTTGAAATGATTTTGTGTTAAAAGTTCAACAGAAACTGTTTTATCGTATTTTTCCTCTAGAAAAATTCAATATTAACTTAAAAAAAAATAAGAAGTTCCCAAACTTATCATTTCATTCAAATAACTATCTAGTCAACATGTTTAATTTTTGTCAATAATGACATGTATTCACTACTCCCGTTCTAAATATCTTGAAAACGGTTACTCGTAGCGATTTTTACCGAGAAACATTTTTTTTACGTAAAAAATCACGAGAATGTATATTTTTCCACTCAGGAGTTTTATACAAGTACGGACGAAAAATTAATACTCTTCAAAATAGTTACAACACACGTAGGTGGTGTCCCCTACAAACAGGAGTCATATTGACATGAAAATCAAATTTCTCATGTCAAAAACTCCCAGACACCAACTTTCATCCCAAATATTGACATTACTTAAAATAAAACTTGTACGCCTTGTATCTCCAAAACTAAGCATATTAGGACATACATTTATACGAACTTCATATTATTTATACGAACTTCTTATTTTTATCTGCGTAATATGCTGCTGAAGTTTCCGGAATACAGTTCGGACCACCCTGTATATTGCTTTTATTACTTACACTGAGTTTATTTCAGTAGGCTGTTCATAATCAGGTAAGTCAGTAATCTCCAGTTGTCTAAAAAAATATATAAATATAAAGTTTATTATGGTTTATAATTTCACCAGAATAACTAACTAAAAATATTATATTTTTAATTTTATTACGTACTGTGAGTTTTTCTGAGTAGGTGGTTTGTAATCGGGTTCGCCAGTTATCTTTAGTTGTCTGAAAAATAGAGTAAATATTTTCTATTTTATAGAGTATATTAATCAATTAGAACGTACTTTGAGCGAACTTTATCCTGTACATTAGGTGTCTCATCTGTAATATAACATTTTTTAAAATTGAAAGTTATGGTACATAGATTAATATTATTACCTGATTGTTTTACTGTCTTCTCATAAGGGTAATCAGTTAAATAAACTGTTACATTGTCTGTATCAAGAAACACATCTTCAAGCTTATTATTAGTTTTTGCAGCTTTCCTAAAATTAATTTATCAAATAAACTGTTTAGGTACTTAATCTATTTTATATGTATGTATACTTGAAACTAGTCTTGCGAGTAGGTGATTCCTTTTTACCTTCCTCTAAAATATCATCTAAAATTGTATCCAGACAAATTAAAAACAAATCCATGTTATGTAATATAATTTTATTGTCGTATTGCGGTAACTTACCATAGTGTTTATTCATTGTTGCTTCTTCGTTTTGCGATAACGTTTGTAGTATTTTCCTACAACAAATATATTTTAAATATTACATATTTAGACCACTCAGTACTTACTTTGGAACTATTTCTCTAGATTCTACATCTGCTGGTTTGTTCGGTTTTTCTAAATGACTACAAAAAAATTATCAGTCAAAAAAATCGCGGTATACCCAAATATTTTTTGATTCGCTTTTTACTGAGAAACTTCAACATTTCGATATAGCGTTTCTATTAATATTAGCTATTTAATGATTTATAAATAAGACCACTAGCACCGTCAATCGGTAAATTATTTATCTATAAATATACATACAGGGTGAGTCTTAAATCAGTGCAAACATTTTCAGGGCTGGCAGATATTGATAAAAGAAACATACTTTCTCTTTACCGTTTTTCAAATAAATCCAAAATAACCGAGTTATTTTACTTTGAAAATTTCAATTCACTACAAAAAAATTATCAGTCAAAAAAATCGCGGTATACCCAAATCATTTTTTGTTTCGCTTTTTACTAAGTTACTTCAACATTTAGATATAGCGTTTCTATTAATATTAGCTATTTAATGATTTATAAATAAGACCACTAGCATCATCAATCGGTAAATTATTTATCTATAAATATACATACAGGGTGAGTCTTAAATCAGTGCAAACATTTTCAGGGCTGGCGGATATTGATAAAAGAAACATACTTTCTCTTTACCGTTTTTCAAATAAATCCGAAATAACCGAGTTATTTTACTTTGAAAATTTCCAAAAAAAAGATTTTTTGCTAAAATTATGAGAGCTATTGGTTCTTTTCTGGATTTTCTTTCTTGTAAATTTAATCTACCACCTATTTTGTCATATTATCAAGAAATTATGTTTTTTTTTATTAAAAACTAAAAAAATTTCAAATTTTCGAAAAAAAAAATTGCAAAAAACTCATAATCGGGTTTCTAGGGGCGAAATATACTACCCCTAAAAATATTTGCACTTATTTAAGACTCACTCTGTATAAACAAAAATATGTGGGCCAGGGGGCCTCACTAGTGCGAGGAGGTCCAATATCGTCACTGTGGTCAAAAATATGAATATTTTTTATGAATGAATATTTTTTGTATTTAAAGTGTTTCTAAATTTTTAGCGGTTTTGCAGATATTCGCTGTATTATATTACATATGGGATTTTCAACTATAAAAGACTTGACAAAGATCATTATTAGGTGGCATTGATAAAAATATACAAGGTGGGCCAAATTGGACGCTTTTAAAGGCAAACACCCTTTTCTACAGGACATAGACGAAAACTAATATCGGTGTCTGGAGCTCAATTTTCATCAAAAACATGATGGTGTGAAACCGCATATAAATATCTGTACCGTTTCGGAGTTACGGGGTGTTTTCAAAAATGTGCATTTTTAACAAATCGCTGCAACTTTTTTGTTATGGAAAATTTTGTATTTCTATGAAAACATTTCCAAAGCACTTTTTTACGTAGAATTTAACGGTTTAAGTATAATTTTTTTAAAATTAAAAATTTAAGAGTTATCAACAGAAAAAATATTTTTTTATTTGGGACACCCTGTATATGTTTAATTAACTGAAAAGAACTTAAAATTACCTTTCCAAAAATAGAGCACACTTGATATTTTGTTATAATCCCCTTCGCAATACAGAATTTTTAAAAGTTCGCCACTTTTAACTAGTAGGCCTTGGACCCCTTATTGATGATATGCCCCTAATAGAAACGAAAACTAATTTCGGTGTCTAAAGCTCAATTTTTATCCAAAAAAAAAATGATGGTGAAAACCGCACATTGATATCTATTACCGTTTTGGAGTTTTGAGGTGTTTTTCAAATATGTGCATTTTTCGCAACCAAACAAATCGCTGTAACTTTTTTACTATGGAAAATTTTGTATTTTTATGAACACATTTCCAACGCACCTTTTTAATGGTTTAAGTATATTTTATTAAGATTAATATTTTAAGAACTATCAACAGAAAATTTGATTTTTTGACATGAGATTTTGTTACAGGTGTTTGACATGTCGAACGTCTTCTATTATGCAGTATGCATTATGCATACAGATGGGACCGTTTTTGAATATTTCTCGCGAAATTCATTAACCTCAATGGGGAGAAAGATACCCTTGCATAATCGCTTAGCTCTTCTAATTCTTATCTAAGTTATACGGGCAATTTAAAAATAAGATCCTTTATTCTTCCGCAAAGATAAAAAGCCCGACGGCCTCGGTGGTTTCGACGGCCAACGGCTGGGATCTTGGTTAGCTATTCAATTATTCTTGAAATTGGCTGCAAAAATTTGCTGATAACAGTGATAACTTCAGCGTTCTGAGGCGGTGCCTCGTCTTGCTGGAAAAATATGTTTTCCAGTTCCATTAGGAGCAGATCATCAATAAGGGATCCAAAGCCTACTAGCAACGCTACTAGTTAAAAGTGGTGAAGTTTTAAAAATTCTGTATTTGGAAGGGGACTATAACAAAATATCAAGTGTGCTATATTTTTGGAAAGGCAATTTTAAGTTCTTTTCAGTTAATTAAAAATATACAAGGTGTCCCAAATAAAAAAAACATTTTTTTGTTCATAACTCTTAAATTATTAATTTAAAAAAAAAACACTTAAACCATTCTACGTAAAAAGGTGATGTTGAAAAAAAGGTGAATGTTTTCAAAAAAAAAATACAAACTATTTTTAGCAAAAAAGTTACAGCGATTTATTAAAAATGCACATTTTTGAGAAACACCCCGTAACTCTGAAATGGTAACAAATATCGATGTGCGGTTTTCATCATCATGTTTTTAATAAAAATGGAGCTCCAAACACCGACATTAGTTTTTGTTCATCTTCTATAGAAAAGGACGTTTCCTTTTAAAAGCCTCCACTTTAACCCACTCTGTACTGTTGGAAGAGTCTGTATCTCCTGTACTGTTGGAAGAGCCTAACTCAGTCTCTAAAAAGGTCATAGTTGAATTGTGCTTTCAATAAGAAAAAAGCAAAAGCCAACCAAGCAGTAAAGTAGTAAAGTTGTAAAATAAATAACATCTATGGTTATTTTCCAAACCTTGAAAACAGAAATGCAAAATTTTCAGCAAGAAGGAATTAGAGAATAATTTTGAAAATGCTGCTTTAAATTGATAAAGGTTATTTTTATAATAATGTATTTTTTTCCGCTAGATTCTGATAAGGAAAAACAGGTAAATACCGGTAAAGCGGTAATTCCACGTCTTAAATTACCGTTTACCGGTAAATTGGAACGCCGGTAAATTTACAATCCTAAATTTGAGCTCAGATACGCAAAAATAATATTTAAGCTTAATCGAACGTCAGGAAGCTGTACCATAAAGCCTTGTTCACGTAGACGCGAATCGCGAATCGCGATTTTGCGAAACTGCTCTCATTGGTCCAATTTTACTGATCATGGCGGCGCTGTCAGAAATTTTAAGATTTTGGCGATTGGCAAGATTTAAAATTTGGGTGCGGGAAGTTAGTAGTTAAAGTGTTTTCAACATTTTGCGAATATTTGCGCGATTTTAAGGTTCGCGTTTGCGCAGAATGGTGTTGTGATCCGGTATCGATTATTTTGACGACGCTGGCTGCTGCAAAGTAACTGAAAGCATTTCTCCAGTTGAAATGGGTTCTCGTGCATAATATGTTTTTGATATATATATGGTGACAATTTTTCAACTTCAACCAAGTTATCAAACTCCTATACAGACAATCTGTGAAAATTCCTAAATTTTTTCGCATCTTTTGTCCTTATTTCTTGAAATAAATTGCGATAAGCACCTTGTTGCTTACGAAATTTGAATATTTCACATGTCCCAAATGACCTATAAACCTGTGCTATAAACCCGTTCTCTTCTACGTTTTAACAATAAGTAAATGGCAATTTTGCGCCTTCTGTTCCAATCCCACAACCGTAATCGATATTCATAATCATTAAACAAATTTAAACTCATATTGTATGCTATAAAATATAAAACAAAGATCGTAAACACGAATAAATATGTATAAATGATGTATAAAACAAATTAAGTTATCTCAGGTTATGATTTTTTTTTGTAACTTTCAGTGGAGCAAAAATGAAATGTCCCTAAAAATTCGCGACTGTATGAAATAGGTCCAAATTTTGCGAATATTTTTTGGCGAATCGCTTTTCGCAATTCGCGATTCGCGTCTATATGAAATAAGCTTAAGGTGGTACTATATTATATGGTATCACCAAAGAATATTCTCCACGAAGTTAGGGCATCGCTCGCCAAAGCGAGGCCCCATCGACAGGTCGGATTTTGATGCGAGACTTCTAGTATCACTTTATATGCTTTATGCTATCTCTATATTGCATTGCTACCGAAGATACGCAAGTTTGCCAAATATCAGCCTAATAGGACCTTGGAACCGTAGTTCGCACAGTGACATACTAAAACTAACACTGCAAGTTAAAGACCCTTTGATCGAAAAAAAAACGGCGTCAGCGATGGCTATGAAATGAAGATCGCTGGCATTTTATATGTAAATTTATATGGGAGATGTCATTGGTCGTCATTTCCCAGCCAACTGGGCGCCGTTTTTTCTCGATCATACTTGTAGTAATGAAAAAATCTATCAACCCACGTTTTTATATTTTCATCATCTTTGTTACTATCTCACACGTTAAAATGTAAAACACGGATTCAGAATGACAGGGTACTATACCGATTTGGTCATTTTAGAAGTGTGGTCTGGATTTTAACGTGTAAGACAGAGAGTAAATAAAGGACCGGTTGATAGATTCATAGACAAAATCAAAATCGGCATACAGTGTTGCAGGTTTTTTCGTTTGGAGGAATATTTGTGTAGAAAAATATAAACTATTTTAAAAACTGTCATGTATACTACTGAAATGAAGATAATATATCTAAGCTAAATATAATCTATTACATCTGTAGTAAAATGAGTAACTAATTGTGAAGAATAAAGCTTCATTCAGAACCTCGCAATTAGTGGCATAAATTAGTGGTTTCAATTACACTTTATACTTTTTAGCTTAAGACCATTCAATATGTATAAAAAACACAATTAAAATTAATAGAATATCCTAGCAACAGCTTGCGGTAGTTGGTTGTATCCTTGTTGTATCCATAGAGAAAGCCTAATATTTAGCTTATAAAACAATCAACTTTTGATTTCTAACCACAATTTCTCTTGACGGATGATCATCAAAGGCATAAATGATATTCTTCGTAAATTTGGAGTATAATTAGTGGAAAAGCCAAAATTTTCAAAGTTTTTCTACTAATTGAAAATGACTACCACTAATTTTGACGTTCTGAAAGCTTACATTAAAATAAGAGGAACAAACTTCTACGCTAATTAAAACCACTAATTTATTCCACTAATTGCGACGTTCTAAATGAAGCTTAAGGTTCCAACTCTAGATGCAACATTTTCCATAATCGCATACATTTGATGCAAAACCGGTTTAAACTTTTGATGCAAAATCCGGCAATACCGCATAGAAGAAATGTATCAACCCAACTTTTATCTCTCTTTAATACATTTGATTTACGCGTTAAAATCCAGACCTCACTTCTAAAATGACCAAATCTGTACAAATGTTTAAGAGTAATTTCTATACATACCTATGTCCAATTTCAATACACTTGTTATTTATGTTAAAATCCTCTGAAAAATGTGTCAATAGAAAGGGGTGAATAAAATTTATACAGAATTAGTAATATGTTACCATTCGGTTGATTTTCTTCAAATATATCACTGTCAGTGCAAACTGAAGGTTCTCTAAATTTAGAACATTTTAAAATATTTTCAGTTTCCGCAAGTTCCTCGGAACAAACGTCTTCAGCAGTTTTAAAAGACTCTTGAGACCCACAGTTTTCTTTATTTCTTGATACTTTTATTGTGGAGGATATTGAACTATCCTGAAGTTTTGCTAAAAGTACATTTAATGGAGGACAAATAAAAGATGGTAGTTATTACAATAAATATAATAATAATATAGGCACTCTTTATACCTGTTTCTGAATAGTTATCTGGAAAATTGATTGGATCGTTAATGATCAAATCTGAAGCTGTAGTAACACTAGATTCAGAATGAACTGATAAAGTATTCGAAACCTAGAAATTGAGTTTATATATTAAAAGTATGTGGAGTTATTTGAAATAAAAATACTTACTGCTGTTAGTGGACTTCTAACTTTATCTCTAGACAAAGTTAAAACACTAGAACGAGTTAGTTTTGATGAAATATTGCTTGACCTGCCCGATTTCTACAATTAAAAAAAAATAACTAAATTTACAAAAAGGAAACAAAATAGTACTTACATTAACTATAGACAATGATGACATCCTAGATACTTTAATGCCTAATGGTTTATAAACTTCACCTAAAATTTACATTCACTTTGAACATTATAAATAAAAATAAATAAAAAAATTTACGCTTAGAATTTGATATTCTAGAAGAGCCGTGACAAAAAGTACTTCCAAATATCTGTGGCAAGGCCACAGTAACCAATTTGTTAATAATATCTTTGTTTTCATTGCCAAAGACCATTCTAATATTTGTGTTATATTTTTCATTCCAAAATGTTTCGTCTATCTCTGCTATTACCGGCTTAGAAAGAGTCAGTAATACCGCACCCTCCTGTGTACCCAATGGCCTAAAAAATAAAGAGATACAACAAATTTCTTGAAAAAAATACAGCGTGAAATCATTGATACCTCTTTATTTCAACTTTCTTAACACCCTTCGGTAATACAATGATGCGATTCAAGGTAGTATGGTCTAACGCAGCAATATAAAAACTCAGCATATGGTTTTTTATATTAAAATCGACCCAGATTGTTTTAGTATCCTAAATAACGTAACTTTATTAGATGTATGTACTCGTTTATAAATTATAACAGTTAATCTCTTTTTGGTGCAATTTTAAGGGATATCTCGATAGAACCTTACGGTTTTCATGAACCGGAACTAAACTACTAAAATAAATTAACGCATAGTTTCTAAAAAAATATTAATTTGAAAAACAACACACTTTGAATTCCCTGGCTTACGGTTTTAAATAGTATGGATACTGTGAAGGGAAATTCTATACAATAAACCTACGCGCTGACCTGTAATTTTTAGTCGATCGGTCGACTATCTGATTGCATGTGAGCGCAAAAAAGAAAAAAGGATATACTGGTTACAAATAATCGGCCGACTAAAAATTACATGTAAAAGAAGATACGAAACAATGTTTCTAGTATATTAAACTGTATCTCATAATCGCCATAGATGACTAAAGCATCAACTAACTTAAATCTGAAAAATATATACAATAAAATATTAACATTATAAAATTGTTTTTGGCATAAGTGGGTATGTTCTTACTGTATACTTTAATTAAAGTAATCTCCGCGAGACCCCCTAGATAGAGGGGTTACCAATGTCAGTAATTGTTACCAAATAAATATGAGTGAGTAGTCTGTAGCCAGGAAGTACCGTATGATAAAAAAACGGCGTCAAAAACATTTCCCATATGCTAGCCGAGGCGCGGTTGCTTATTATTTGTAAGGCAATTGCATTGTCAACTCTGATGCGTAGCGCATCTCGTTGTAATATATTCCTTTATTTTGGTGAATTACCGTTTTATTGCTAATTCCCCACGTGCCCGACGACATCAGAAGTGATTGAACTTGTGTCTAGCCCCAGCGGCAACTATTACGCCCGACCAATCACGTTAGAGTTTTTGACCAAACACAAATGAATTAACACCCTCCAAATAACCACGCTAACCAACCTGATTGGTCAAGCTTAATAGTTGCCTGCTGGGGCTAGACACTTCTAGTGGTTGAGAACATGTAGTGTTGGTGTTTTGTGAAGTTTTGTTTGTCTCAAGTTCAGATACTCAGTTATAAATCGCAATCGCCAAAAATCATGTTGTGAGTGGTATTTTTAGAAGAAAACTCTACATCGAAGTTTCAATAGTACAAAACACCATATAACACTGTACACGTCAGCAGTACTTCTATTTTAAAGTGAGCACATTTTCATTGAAACAAGACGAGACCATAGGAAAGTGACATTTGAAAACCGATACTGAGGGCTCCAGTAGACCAAATGAACGGTTGGTCTGTTTTTAATGAAACTTTCTTGAAAAGGAATTGTCTGTTTAGAGGATATAAAGATCCAAAAGTTAAGTAATCCAAAAGTTAAGGTAAATAGCATATTGATCACTCTCTTCCAGGCATACTGATCGCCCTCCGCAGGCATATTGACCGCCCTCTGCAGGCATATTGATAGCTCTCTTCCAGGCACCATCTTAGCACAGATCATATAGATTATAAACTATGTTTTTTCTTTATAGTTTTTCGTGGTTCCAATTTTCGGAATCGGGCACTAGTTAGGTTACTAGTTTGCGCACATAGCACGCCCACTTATGGCCTCTAAAATTGTGCACAGCGCCTGATCGGCACAGTTATTAGAGAGATATCGGAAAACCGAATAGCGTCATGCAGTATTTACGCGTACCTTATCATGGTTACGATATGCGCGAGTCAATTTTTAACGCAACACCCGCTAATAACGTTACCGGCTGACGTAATTTGCGGATCAATTAGACCAAGCGCTATTTCTAAATAACCTTTAAAAATTGCTTAAATGGGCATGTGCGCGTACATTTGACAACCGGGGCCGGCCGTAAAGGATGATTCACGGTACACCGTGACGGGCCGGAGCCGTGCGACGGTGAAGGCACGGCCAAACATTGTCAAATGTTATTTATACTTATACATTCATGCTAAGCCGAGCACGGTCCGAGCTTCGCCGGAACGCGTCCGTGCCCCGTCCAAGAAATGTCGGTGTACATTTTTCCTCGGATCCGCTACGTTCCGGCCCCGTTGCGGCAAACATAAATGAGCCGCCGTGGCTAAATACTTCGTTTGTCTACGGGCCTATAGCGACTGTTTTCTCGGTACGGACATGATCCCCGTTGTCCACTCGGTGTTGCATATATTGAAGGCCCGGACGTGGCTCGGTGTCTACTTCACGGAACGTGCCCGGCTCGGGTACGGTCCGGTGTACCGTGAATCATCATTAACACCGTAATGACGGTGGTTACGGGCCGGCCGGCGAGCGGCGAGATCTTTTATTTTAGGTTATGTTTGAATTGTTTTGAATTATTACTTTAGTTTTATTAGGTAATTTGATATTTAAGTAGCTGGGATTAGCTTTAATTAAATAAATATGGCCCAAAATATGGATTCCACCTCTTCCAATATTAAAGAACCTATAAAGAGACTTAGGTTTACAGCAGATGCGACGACTTAGCCCTTCTAAGAAAATTTGTTGCTTGTTGCCCTAAACCCACTGGCAGACGTTGAACAATGAAGCACTGGAAATAAGCACTTTTAGCCCTTTAGCTTTAAAATACCTAGTAAACAAAACAATTTCAAAGTTTTAAATTCAAAGTTAGGTTAAGTTTAAATAGCGGACGCGATGCGAATAGAATTCTTTCCGATCCGATAACTATAAATGAAGAGAGTTAATACCACCTCACGTAAAGGAAATAACACCTGGCCTTATTAACGTCCATGTACGCTATTCGGTTTAGCGATATCTCTCTATTACGCTGTTTATTGTTATTTTACGCGAGTTTATTTTTGCGCACAGGAAATTTTACTCGTTTGCACATCGTCATAAAAAACAATTTTCGTACCACGAATTAGGGATAAGATTTGTATCTGTATACATATAGTATACCTAATCTGTGATCTTAGTGACATGGAAGACATATTTAAAGTACTTCATGAATTATAAAGTGATAAATAAATTGGAAGATATTATCAAGATTCTAGAACCCTTGAAAGATCATATTCTCTTTCCGTAGCGTAGCTGAGTGGAGTAATTTACAGATGATGAGTTTGCTGAGGTTTAGAATATATGAATTTTAGATAGATAGAAATTTAAAAAAAGAATTTAGATAGAAGTATCTGTCTCTTTTACATAGAAATAAATTGATTCTCCTTTCAAGTCATTACACCATTTTATTTATTAAAAAATAATCACAAATGTTTTTATAATTTTATTCTGTGGTGTTCAACACTAAAGTATCACATAAAGAAATAGTAATTTATGTTTATTACCTATGAATAGCAGTTAGACATCAATTTCATTGCTTACCCCTATATATACCCTTTCATAGAATGTTTGAAATTTGACTGCTGTAACCACAACAATTTCAGGCTTTAACACTCCAATCACTCTATGTTTACAGAATCAAATTTTGTTTTGAATTAAAAATATCAAGAATGTCAGTATGCTTAAGTACTTTTTAAACAAAGAGCATCACAATATCATCTCAATATTTCTATACATTTTGTTTTAAAGACATTCCAGTTATCAAAGACAAACATGACTACATCAAAGATAGTGTTAAGATTTATAGGTTCTCAAAATTTTCCGGCAACTTTTATGTGGATTGAGATTAAAACTAATTCGTAGATATATTTTTTGTTAATATTAATATTCTTTGAGCATCAGAAGAATTTCCCCACAAAATGGATATGTACTAAGGTATACTGATCTGAAGCATATTGATTGCCTTCTCAGGCATTATCGTCACAATTTTGCTAATAATGATCGCCACCCTAAGCATAATAATTGTTGCAATGTTTGGGGTACAAGGGGTATTGAAGCGATATATATAGCCTAGCTTACCCAAAAGTCAACCTCACCTTCACGTGGTACACCCTGTTTACACAAACAAGACCCTCAAATAACCCACTGATTTTGCTATATCATAATTATGGTCGCCATATGAGGGAAAACATCAGTGATCGGCATCTTAGGCACAATTTTGGTCGCCATCTCAAGCAAAACCGTGATCGCCATTTTAGGCACAATTTTTGGTCGCCATCTCAGGCAAAACAGTGATCGCCATCTTAGGCACAATTTTTGGTCGCCATCTCAGGCAATACAGTGATCGCCATCTTAGGCACAATTTTGGTCGCCATCTCAGGCAAAACAGTGGTCGCCATCATAGGCACAATTTTTGGTCGCCCTCTCAGGCAAAACAGTGATAGTCATCTTCGTCACAGTTTTGATCGTCATACTTTGTCAATAATAGTTGGCCTCTCGGTTGGCCTAAATCATTATTTTTTTTGTTTTGTAGTTACTTTAAAAAACTTTAAAAAACTAGCTTTCGAGGACGAAAGTTGTACAGGATGGCCGTGCTGGCCGAGGCGCGGTTGCGACCGGTGTTTCAACATGTTGATTCAATGTGTCTTATCACCGCTGACTCAGGAGAGGGTCACCGAGTGGGGTTTAAGATTGTTATTTGTAAGTCAACTCTGATGCGTAGCGCATCTCGTTGTAATATATTCGTTTATTTTGGTGAATTACCGTTTTATTGCTAATTTCCCACGTGCCCGACGACACGTATAAATTTACATATAAAATAACAGCGATCTTAATTTCACAGCCATCGCCTACGCTATCATAATGCAAATTATGACTAAAAATTACATGTCAGTGCGTACCCTAATTATCCTAAAAAAACTCACAAGGCAGAAAAATGCATGCTTCGTTTAGAAATATTAAATGGAAAACAAATTTCTTGCAGTATAGGTATATAATAAATTATATAAGATTCTTGGCTTGAACTGCTGATATAGAAATTTAATTCCACACTGTGTTCATCATAATGTGAATCAGCCTGCTCTCATTACCGGTTTCTACCGTACCACCTGAAAAAAGCCTTTTTACTATCGATAGTTGCGCCTCGGTGGTATGAAAGTACTACCATTGCACGCAGGCCGCTATCTCGCCGTGCGGACGTTAATATATTACCGCTACTTTCCGGACAAGTCGGAATTAGGTACTCTGCGCTGTGTTTGTCATTTTGTGGAATCGACCCAAGCTCACATGATGATGGAGTAGGGCTCCGAAAGCGGTAGTGAGAGCATGTTAATCCACATTCTGGCGAACACAGTGTAGAATTAAATTTTTAAATCAGCAGTTCAAGGCAAGAATCTTATATAATTTATTATTCCTTTTTAGTTGGGCCCCCCCTAAAATAAATCCCGGTATCCGCCCCTGGGCAGCCCTACACGTATTAAAAAAATAATAAACTGCTTACCTTAGGCGGAGAACACAAATACTCTCCTACATAGATTGACTTACATGCAATCGATTTAATTAGAGATGAGTTCTTGTTAAATTCGTTTAACCAGGAACGAGCGTTTTTGCCAAATTCAGATGATGTTATAACTAAAAATAAATCAAATATAAAAGTTTTGCTTCAAAATTTAAAAGCATACTAAAATAAACTAAGTTTAGTTTAAAGAACTTGTTACATCTGGTATAGGTTTGGTGCATTCTCCGCCGCGCCAATGCTGCCACCATCGGAGGATATCGTAAACAACCGGTAACGGTTGATAACCGATCTAGAATAAAGAAATTTACCAGTTTTCAAAGATTGGTCCAAGTCGTCATTTTCAGGAAGCAAAGAAAATGATATTGGGCTTTGTTCTACTAATGGTCCGAAGATACGAAACAATGTTTCCAGTATATTAAACTGTATCTCATAATCGCCATAGATGACTAAAGCATCAACTAACTTAAATCTGAAAAATATATAAAATAAAATATTAACATTATAAAATTGTTTTTGGCATAAGTGGGTATGTTCTTATTGTGTACTTTAATTAAAGTAATCTCCGCGAGACCTCCCCCCTAGATAGGGATTACCAATGTCTGTAATTATTACCAAATAAATATGAGCAAGTAGTCTGTAGCCAGGAAGTACCGTATGATAAAAAAATGGCGTCAAAAACATTTCCCATATAAAATAACAGCGATATTCATTTCATAGCCATCGTTGACGCGTTTTTTTCGATCATAATATAAATTATGACAGAAAATACAATATGAATATCTATAAATTAAAATACCAGACAACAGATAAATGTCACTGTCATGGATCTGAAAAGTTTCTCTCCTTCAAAAGACTATAGTATACTGGACTATAAAACGGATTGCATTAAAGTCTGCCCAACAAGCTAGGTAAGATTTCTACGGAGGACATCTAACGAATGACAGAAAATATAATTTATCGGTGAATTAAAATGACAGACAACTGTCACTGTCATGTATATTCTCGATGGAGAAACTTTATTGAATAATTTTAGAAAGATTAAACCCAAACTACCAGGAACTTAAGTCTAAAAACATTTTTTAATGTTATAAGATTGAATGATTTTTGTTAATATAAAGTATTAGTTTGCTGACTAGATTTGATACGTAAAAATATCATTCCCCTTCTTCTTATTTAATGAGAACCTATACATTTTCATATCACATCATCTAAAATAAAGCGAAAAAGAACTTAATACATATTTAGAATTTTAGATTAACAAAATAGCTGTAATGGAAATCATGATTAATGGGAAAAATAAGTGCACTTCAAACTTTAAGCACAACGCAAATGTTAATCATGACCTTCAAAAATATGAAAAAAATATTTTTATTCAATAAAAAAAATAGATGTAATGGAAATCATGATTATTAAGAAAAATAAGTGTACTTCAACCTTTAAGCACAACGCAAATGTTAATCATAACCTCTAAGTTAGGAAAAAAATTGTATTGACTGTAATGAAAATCATGATTAATAAGAAAGATAAGTGTGCTCAACCTTTAGGCCAACGCAAATGTTAATCATAACCCTCTAAGTTATGAAAAAATTGGATTGGCTGTAATAAGAATCATGATTAATAAGAAAGATAAATGTGCTTCAATCTTGAGGAATAACGCGAATGTCAATCATAACCTTCTAAGATATGAAAATATTAGATGTAAATGGAAATCATGATTAAGAAAAATAAGTGTACTCCAACTTTTAAGCACAACGCAAATGTTAAGCATAACCTTCTAAGTTATGAAAAAATTGGATTGGCTGTAATGAGAATCATGATTAATAAGAAAAGTAAGTGTACTTCAAACTTTAAGCACAACGCAAATGTTAATCATAAACTTGTAAGTTATGAAAAAAATTGGATTGGCTGTAATGAGAATCCTGATTATTAAAGTCTTCTAAAATGTACTTCAACCTTTAAGTATAACGCAAATGTTAATCATAAACTTGTAAGTTATGAAAAAAATTGGATTGGCTGTAATGAGAATCATGATTAATAATGAGAAAGAAGTACTTATATATAACGCAAATTTAATCATAACCATGTAAGTTATGAAAAGATTGGATTGGCTGTAATGAGAATCATGATTAATAATAAGAAAGATAAGTGTACTTCAACCTTTAAGCACAACGCAAATGTTAATCATAAACTTGTAAGTTATAAAAAAACTGGATTGGCTGTAATGAGAATCCTGATTATTAATGTCTTCTAAAATGTACTTCAACCTTTAAGTATAACGCAAATGTTAATCATAAACTTGTAAGTTATGAAAAAAATTGGATTGGCTGTAATGAGAATCCTGATTATTAATGTCTTCTAAAATGTACTTCAACCTTTAAGTATAACGCAAATGTTAATCATAAACTTGTAAGTTATGAAAAAAATTGGATTGGCTGTAATGAGAATCATGATTAATAATGAGAAAGAAGTACTTATATATAACGCAAATTTAATCATAACCATGTAAGTTATGAAAAGATTGGATTGGCTGTAATGAGAATCATGATTATTAATGTCTTTTAAAATGTACTTCAACCTTTAAGTATAACGCAAATGTTAATCATAAACTTGTAAGTTATGAAAAAAATTGGATTGGCTGTAATGAGAATCCTGATTATTAAAGTCTTCTAAAATGTACTTCAACCTTTAAGTATAACGCAAATGTTAATCATAAACTTGTAAGTTATAAAAAAATTGGATTGGCTGTAATGAGAATCATGATTAATAATGAGAAAGAAGTACTTATATATAACGCAAATTTAATCATAACCATGTAAGTTATGAAAAAATTGGATTGGCTGTAATGAGCATCATGATTAATAATAAGAAAGATAAGTGTACTTCAACCTTTAATCACAACGCAAATGTTAATCATAAACTTGTAAGTTATAAAAAAACTGGATTGGCTGTAATGAGAATCCTGATTATTAATGTCTTCTAAAATGTACTTCAACCGAGGGGTATAACGCTTGGGTTAATCATAAGACTTGTATGTTGCTAAAAAATTGGATAGGCTGTGATGACGAATGCCAAGAATATGTAATGTCGTCTAAAATGTACCCCCTCGGATTCAACCTTTAAGTATAACGCAAATGTTAATCATAAACTTGTAAGTTATGAAAAAAATTGGATTGGCTGTAATGAATCATGATTAATATGAGAAAGAAGTACTTATATATTCTCGCAAATTTAATCATAACCATGTAAGTTATGAAAAGATTGGATTGGCTGTAATGAGAATTAGTGATTAATAATAAGAAAGATAAGTGAGTATTTAATTGCCACAACGCAAGAGTTAATCATAAACGGTTTTGGTCGCGGTGGATTGGCTGTAATGAGAATCCGAACCGTTATTAAAGTCTCTGCTGGTGCAGGCCGAGTGGAGGAGCGCCAGTCGAGTACCTTGGCTGAAGCAGCTCCAGAAAGACAGTTTGTGCTCGCACGCGAAACGCCAAAGTGATCGAGGATTGGCTGTAATGAGAATCCTGATTATTAATGTCTTCTAAACTACCTTCATGCGTTATAAGTATAACGGGATGTTAGTTGATAAACTTGTAAGATATGAAAAAGCGCGGGATTGGCTGTAATGAGAATCATGATTAATAGGGAGAACGAAGTGCTTATATATAGCCAGGAATTTAATCATAACCAAAGTTATCTGAAATCTGCTCCGGCTGTAACGAGAATCTTGATTAATAATACGAAAGATCGTGTTTTCAACATTAAGCACAACGCAAATGTTAATCATAACCGAGTAAGTTATAAAAAAACTACGATTGGCTGTAATGAGTCGCCAGGATTATTAATGTCTTTTAAAATGTGTCAACCTTTAAGTATAACGCCAGTGTCATAAACTCTAAGTTAAAGCTAATTACGGGCTAATAATTAATTCATGATTAATAATGAGACAGTCAGGGTAGTTCAGTAAACGCACGGGTCGCGAATGTTCACGGAGCTAAAACAGGACTTCGCCAAATCTCGAGGCTGGTTTTGTAGCTCCCGTATTTTCTAGGTGTGTCGTCCGGACGGCACCCTAATCATAACCATGTAAGTTATGAAAAATTGGATTGGCTGTAATGAGCATCATGATTAATAATAAGAAAGATAAGTGTACGCCGATCCTTTAATCAACGTTTGTGTATCCCTCGGGACGCTGTTAAACTTGTAAGTTATAAAAAAACAGGATTGCGTTTGTAATGAGAATCCTGTTAATTAATGCGATCTAAAATGGACTCAACATTTAAGTATCCCACGGGAATGTTAACTTCGCGATCGATCCAGGGCTCACGTTTGCGTATCCCACAGGACGCTGATAAATTCGCGATCGATCCAGGACTCGCGTTTGCGTATCCCACAGGACGCTGTTAACTTCGCGATCGATCCAGGACTCGCGTTTGTGTATCCCACGGGACGCGGTTAACTTCGCGATCGATCCAGAGCTCACGTTGGTGTCCCACAGGACGCTGTTAATTTCGCGATCGATCCAGGACTCGCGTTCGTGTATTCCGGGACGCTTTTAACTTCGACGCCGATCCGAGGTCCGTGTTTCGTTGTCAAAACGGACGCCGTTCCGAGAAATATTTAGCTGTGACCATCGGGGACGCCTGTAACGACGTCGCCGCCGTTTAGAAAGTCGCGTCATAGTGGAGTGTGTCACTCCGGTACTTACGTCATTAGACGCCACTAGATTCGACGTCGATTAGGAACTCGCGTCGTTTTATTTAATAGAACGTCATTGCGGGAGCGCGTTTTTAATTCACGGGATAGAATCAGTCAGAGAGTTATATAACGGGAATGTCAATCATAAACTCTAAGTTATAAAAAATTGGATTGGCTGTAATGAGAATCATGATTAATAATGAGAAAGAAGTACTTATATATAACGCAAATTTAATCATAACCATGTAAGTTATGAAAAAATTGGATTGGCTGTAATGAGAATCATGATTAATAATAAGAAAGATAAGTGTACTTCAACCTTTAAGCACAACGCAAATGTTAATCATAACCTTCTAAATTATAAAAAAATTGACTGTAATGAAAATCATGATTAATAAGAAAGACGTGTGTGATTCAACCGAGGGGTGTCTCACTTGGGTAAAAATGTAAGAAGACTGCCTATGTCTGCTATATAATTATAGTCACTGATGCCAACGACTGCCAAGAATATGTACATGTAATTCCAACAGTGGGGGTTTCACTCGGATTCAACTTTTAAGTACAGCGCAAATGTTAATCATAACCTTGTAACTTATAAAAAACTGACTGTAATGGGATTGATGATTATTAAGAAAGATAAGTATGCCTCAACCTTTAAGGACAACGCAAATGCTGTTCGTAACCTTTTTAGATATAAAAAAATTAGACGTAATGAAAATCATGATTAATAAGAAAGATATGTAAGTGTGCTTCAACTTTTCAGCAGAACGC